CGAGCGACTCACGAGCTACTTCCGAGTAGCTCACGAGCGACGGCCCGGCAGCTCACGAGCCACTTCCCGGCAGCTTACGAGCTGCAGCCCAGCAGCTTCCGAGCGACTTACGAGCTGCAGCCCAGCAGCTTACGAGCTGCAGCTCAGCAGCTTACGAGCGACTTACCAGCCCAGCAGCTTACGAGCTGCAGCTCAGCAGCTTGCGAGCTGCAGCTCAGCAGCTTGCGAGCGACTTACGAGCTGCAGCCCAGCAGCTTACGAGCTGCAACCCAGCAGCTTACGAGCTGCAGCCCAGCAGCTTACGAGCGGCTTACGAGCCCTCCGCGCCAACAAACTCGCGCGCGTAAGCGCGCGACGCCCCGCAAACAGCTTCGGAGCACGACGACGCACCTCCAAGCAGCTCGCGAGCCCTTTGCGCGCCCCCCAAACAGCTCCGAAGCGCGACGGCGCACCCTCTAGCAGCTCCCGAGCCCTTCGCGCGCCTTCGAACCGCTTCCGAAGCCGCGTGTGCCCAGTTTGCAAGCACTTTAGAGCCCCTAAGATTGCGAGCCGTGCGGCCTCCAGCCCTCGAAATTGACAGGCCCTCCAAGTAGCGAATTCTACCCTACGTCTCGAAACTAGCCTCGTTCGTAGCTACTACAGAGTGGAGTGCTGGGACACCCTCCCCAGAGAGAGTACAGGTAAGAGATCCCAAGGCAAGAAGGGCGACAAAGAGAAAGGGAGAAAGAATATAGTTCTGATCCTTCCCGGCATGGCCAGGTTCGCGTCTTCGAGTCTGCTTGTCCAAGGCTGCAAGGCGATGCCTTAGGTAAAAAATGCGGTTTCACAAAACTGTCAAAACCAAAAGACTTGTAGTTGTTCTACTGGCTGAGAAAAACAGTTGACCAAAAAACATCTTACGTTTTCCAAAAGCTCCGGGTTCTACAAAGACTTCAGCAATTTTGAATTGCGGCATTTGTGGAGGTCTGGGCTTTGTGTTTCCAATCGCATATCTTGGATAGAGCCCAAAAGCGTTGGAGGTTGCCACTGCGTGTTGCTTCTGTAAGCTCGGAGCCTCGCACTGCAACTTGAGCAGTTTGAGAACTGCTAAGACGTGGAAAATGGTCAGAGGAAAGCCATGGAACATGGAAGTTCTTGCTCGCAAAAAGGAATTAGTGGAACCTACTGCACCGAGAACACACAGCAATGGTGTGTTCTTGTTCGAAGGTAGAAGGGTCTTTCATTTCTTTTTCTTTCCCGCATTTGTCTTTCTTTTTGTGTTTTTTCTTGTTTGGCTTCTGTTTTTCTTCTCTTGTTTTTTTTTCTTCTCATGTGCCGCTGGAATTCTGGCCTGGCAGAAGTCGAAAAAGATCACAGTTGCAAACAAGATGGACCAACTCTGGAAAAAGATGTTTCAAGAGTCGAAATAGAGCTCTTGTCTTTTGTCTGCTGAGCTGATCCAACGGCAGACGATGCTGACAAGAGCTTGTTGCCTTGAACAGGAGCAAACATCACAGGTTTCAAGGGCACGTCGGCCGGCTGCCAAGCAGCTTATATCTGCAGCAACCCGATAGTGTTTGGCTGCCATGTGCATTGTCTTTGCCTTCTGCACATCCGCCAAGGTTCTTAGCTGGTTGCCGTCTGGTGTCTTTAGCCAGTCGCCGTCATGGTGTCTTTCTCTTCGTCGTACATGCAGCAAATTGTTGCCTTGCGCATTGCACAGAGGACTTTCTCCTCCGTCCGTCATGCAAGAGACATAGAGAGTATGTGGGGCGAAAAGGACCCAATTTGGCGTGTCCAGTGCACTCAAATCGGAATTCCGACCTGAGGTACGAGGTCTTGCGTGAGTTTTTCCGGGGCCCCCGATAAGCTTCAAGAGGTTGAGAAGCGATTGCCACCTCGACGTCCAACGGAAGTGCAATGGAAACACGAGGAGATGGAGGTCTTCTCCGATCCAGTCGTCACTCATCTCTTAGGGGTGCCCGCTTGTGGACTTCGTGTACCCTCCACAGTCTAAGGGCGACGCTGGATGACGCCTCCGAAGTTCGAAGAGCCCCCTGGGGAGGCAGGGAGCGCAAATCCAAGGGAGTCGAACAACACGTGACCACTTTCGGGGCTTATCTTTCTCGTGTCAGTCTTGTTCATGCTAAGGGAAGCATCAAACCAGGCTGGTTCGTGCAAGCGGATCGTCGCCTCCCGCCGCTCCAAGCGAAAGCCGGCTTGCGGCCGGTGTGCGCATGTATTTCGCAGGGTGGCGCAGGACGTCTGCCGGCCGGAACACCTCGGACAGCCAGTGTACTATGATTTGTGATACAGGATTTCTTTTTCCTCTTTCGTTCTCAAACACGCGCAACCATGTTGTTCTCGCGGCTATTCGAAATCAACAATACATTTCAGGATGTACCTTGTGGCCCTGTGGCCCGTCCCAGCTCAAAAACATCATGTCGATGTACGTGTCAACAACAACATTTGTGACGACAGTTTGTTGTTTTCGTCTGCATTGGTAGAAAACGTTTTCCGATCTAGTCTGAGTTCAACTGCAATTTTTCGGATACTGTTACATGGCATCTACCAAGCTATGACCAGAACCCAGCACATGCTGATGTACGGTTCCATTTTTCCGTGTTGCTTCAACTTCACATGCAGCCCCATCAGCACGTTTATTTACATGATAATTGTTCGTTATTCCTGCACATCTCGGATTAAGACTTGTAGTTCGCCATGGCAAACCCACACCCAGCCGGCAACCCGAATGTGGGGCAGGACGCTGCGATGGTCATAAAGAGTTCAACAGGCAGGTTCGAATGATCGACGAGGGGGTTTGCTTTTTGGGTCCATGAGGAGCCAACCGATTCCGAGTTGCGGGAGCTGAGTCGCAAGTTCGAGGTCGCAGCGGGTCATACGTGGTGCGGTTTGGATGTTTTGTTAGGATTGCGCCAAATCATCTGCAGATGCCGCTTTTGCAATGCAGGAACTACTTCGCCGCTGTGAGCAAACTCGAGCGAAGGCGTTTGGCCGTTGAGTGTTAGCAGGGCCTCGTGGCATGTTGATGAACACCCAAAACAACAGTTACACAATGCTTGCGAAGGAAGGTGAGCACCAGGAGAAGCAATTTCCAGATGCGTGGCGACAATAGATTTTCTGTACATGAGGTTTCGGCATTCTGCCACACGGGCTTGAATACATTTTGAGAACCCAGGACTGGTATCGCGAACCTGACATCACCATCCCCTCCTGGCTGTCCACGGCACCTTGTTTCGGGTTGTTGTGGCCTGTCATCAATGCGATCAAGTGGCTGGAGTGATCGAGGATTCGCCTTTCCAGCAGCCGCCCCCGCCGCAAGACCGCTTGGCAGCTGTCATCTCCACGGAGAGCTGGCCGAGTCGAGGCTAGAAGTGATGCAGAGTGAATGAAGCTGCTGTGAGCGTTAGAACAATGCAACCTCAAGAATCGGGCCTTGCTTGCCTTTCGGTTTTCCATCATCCTTTCACAGGTGGATTCAACTGGCAGGTTTGCCTGCCGACAGCAAGATGCTTGACAGCATGCCAGTTGCTTTGGGCAGATGCTGTGCAACTCTCAGGGTAAAAGGTTGCTTACAACATGTTCAAGCTTCACAATTGAGTTGTGTTTTAGGCTTGTGAGTTGAGTGGTGCGCATCAAGGCAAGAATTGACAATGACAGCACATGCCTGAAGCCCAGCTTGTGCAAGCTCGATATTCGCGTTGCGGCTACGCTACGGTGCTAAGATTTCCCAGCGGAGTTCTCGAGATGTATGGTAAGACTCTGGATGCGGCTGCACAGTTTGGCTCATGTTGCTAGCATTTTGCCCTGCCGATTAAGGTCACGGACAGGCAGGTTTGTTCAGTGCTTTCAAAATCAGTGCTGCAGCTTCGTCCAGCGCATCCTCCAAGCGAAAGCCAGCTTGCTGCCAAGCATCACGGATAGGTGTGCGCCTGTATTGCATTGACTAGGAAAAACAATTTACGAGTGAGAATGACCACGCCGTCACAGTAGTATTGTAGTTCCCTGCACACTTCCGGGTTGCATCTGCTGCTGTGACGAACCCGCTCGGCAGGTTGTACGCGGAAGGAGGGGAGGTCGGCCTTTGCGTTGCTTGGGTCGCTTGACGGCACTTCAGGGCAGTGTTTGGGTTGCAATCCCTGAAAGTGGTGCAGACGGTATGAGTGTATCAGGTCATGTTTTGGGCTACTTGCCACTTCGTAATGGCAGTCCCTGCCGGTGTGCTGGAACGCTGCTTTGCACAAGCAGAGTGCAAGCGAGGCAGTCCAAGCTTCATCAGTTGATTCGGCGAGTGCGCAAGCCAAGGCGTGATGGCCAATGACCCTCAGGCAAAATCCAAGCCACGAGAGTGTGCGACTAGGAGAAGAGCAGTCTCTGCAGGCGAAGCACGGTGGCCAGAGACAGCGCTCTGTGCATCCAGCTGTGTTGAGAATAATATGAAGTCTGTGTTCCATGCGTCGTCCTTTTGCGAGGTCTATTTGAGGCGACTCTGCCGCCGGCAGCTTTACTGTATGCTGAGCTTGGCCCGAGCCTCCGAGCCCCAAGACTCGACCCAATCGTGGCTCCGAAATGGCTGAGGTCGCTGCTGTCGGGCTGATGATCCGATCACAGGAGAGCCTGAACGTTCAGGTGCGCCTCTTCTCCGACTGCCCCCCGCCGCAGGACTTTCTGCTCGACTTCAGCTGGCTCCACCAGGCAGGCACCAGGGATACCACGGAAGTGTCGAAGAGATCGCCTGGCAGGTTGTATTCAGTATGGCCTTTGGGCATTGGGCTGTAAGTCTCTTGGAGGTGCAACTGTTGCACTTGTGCTCTAGTTCCTGGCTGCGCACTGGTTTGATTTGTGACAGTTTAATGCCGCAATCCTGGAAGTTGGTGGAGGATCTCAGTTGCAGCGGCTTTTTGGGAGGAGGACTGGACAGCAAGGCATCGTAGTACATGTTGCCGGGTACGATGCTGCTATGTTGCAGTCGCAGTGCCACTGGAGTGTTGAGGCTCTTCCAGGAATTCGAGATCCTTTGACAGTTCTTTTCCAGGCAAGATTCGACTTCTCCTTCGCCTTTGCATTGTCGCCTTAGATTTTCCGTGACTTCAGGGCTTTCTGCTCCATCATTTGGCTGCTGCAGCGATGTATGCCGCTCTCCTTTGCCTCCACCGTCAGGGAGCCTATCTGAGAGTCTCGGCGTTGCGGCGTCTGCTAAACATGCATCAAGAAATTTATTCTCGATTAGAGTTCGGGCCGCTGTGACCAGGGCCAAGCTGCGTCGGAACACTCGCGCTCCTCTTCGAGTTGCCGGTCCGCGGCACCGAGCGCAGAGCGGAAGTGCACAGCGCACAGCGCTGAGAGCGCAGGTACCGCTCTTGACTCGCCGAGAGCTGTCGCAGATTTCGGGGCACCAATCCGCGTTTTCCAGGCCAGAGCCGAGCACAGAGCCGAGTGTTGCAATCGCAGTCGTTTCTCTTTTTCCGCTTTCCTTGCGGAGGTGGATGTCTCAACGGAGCTCCGTCAGCGAGCACTGGCATGGGCACCCAGCCTTTTGCTCCTCGGGTCGGGAAGGAGACTTGCAGTCATGCGAGGCGATTCACGTACAGCTTCTTCGTGGTAGGTCGGGGGGCGCCAACTGCACTCTACGCACGCTCCTCAGAAACTGACTGACCGGCTGACAGCCGGTCCCCGCACGGGCCTCTGGCCAGGAAGATAAATGCGCCAATGGCCGGTGCAAGTTGTTGGCAACAATCGAAGTTACTTAAAAACCACGGGCTTCACGTGGACCTTTCACATTCCGTGAATCGGAGCCTTGACAGTGAACAACGCTTGTAAAGTACAAAGCCGGGTTTCTTGCCTGCTTGGCCTTTGTCTTTGGTCTTTGGTGCTGCCCAGGTGTACTCATTGCTCTGGCGGCTAGCCTAAGCTTTGGGGTTGTCCCATTAAGCTCTCGACTGGAAGCCGAGAGGTTCCAAGACGAGCTCTCGAAGCTGCAGCAGGCCGACTTGCCAGGAGCCTCAGGACCTCAGAAGACTCGTGTTTCGCCGTCAAGTGCTGGCGTTATGCATAAGGTTGCTATACCACAGTGCCTCCATCTTCTTCAGTGTTTGGCACAGGCCTCAGGCGGTCCGTTTGCTCACAAGTTGTGGCATGCTGAAACGTTGACGTAGTCTTGCGAGCGAAGTCAGGAACTACTCCTTCCTTTCAGTGCTTGATGCATGGTCCCGCGCGGACATGGCGGTTACCTCAAGCTTCGGAACGGCAAAGTATGCCTCTCAAGCTTCTGCCCGGCAGGCTGCAGCTGCACCCCAGGACCTGTTGGAGGAGAATGGAGCCGCTTGGTTGTTTGCTAGTACGTTGATAGTCGCTGCATAGACCCAGCGCCTGGACATCCCCTTTTTTCCAGGACAGTCTTAAAGGAGGTCAGGGTCGCTTCAGGTGATGCTCGCGCGGGAGTGCAAGAGTTGAAGCTTGAGAAGGCTTCTAAGCAGAGCCCAGGACCTCGAGCGAACGGAGCCTTCGGAGCCGGAGGCCGTGGTTTCTGAAAGGTAGGACCCGGGGCTAGGGCCGCATGGCATTCTATGTTTGTGGCTGTTGTAGGTCCTGAGGAGACTCTGGGACTCCCCTTAGATTTCTAGCTCGGCTGCTTCGAAAGAGGCGGCCACGTGCTGGCGTCCGCCCGTAAAGCGAGATGGGGGGGAGTGGATGCGCGGCATGTGCAGAGCAGTGGGTCGAAGCCAAGGTGCTGTGTGCAAACGGAGCGCTAGGGACAGCAGTGCAGCCATGTGCTACTTGCGGCCGCGGTGCTGTGTTACACTCTGTGTTGCACTGTGGCAGAGTCTGGTTCTGTCTGGGCTTCTGCAGAAGCAGAGCCGAGCGTCTTTGGGTCCGGGGCGCTGTCGCGAGGCCTCTGCGCTTTATGAAGTCGACGAGGAGGCGCCACGCCCCACAGCCACAACTTGTTCCATCTTTCACAGATTCTCTCCGACATGCGGCGATTCGGATTTGCGACTCGAAGCTGTTTGGCTCCTTTGTCAGCCTTTCGCCATTTCAGCACCATCAATCTTGGGTATATAGCAGGACGTTTCTCCACCTGGTGGAGGCGCAGTTCAATAGACTCGTGTGAGCGCTGCATCCGCAAGCTTTGGATCGTGATTCAAGAACGGGAGCCAGCCAGCTTCCGGTCTTGTTTATGAAGTGAAGTGCAGCTGCCTGCAGCCTAGAGGGGCTGTAGGTCTTGGTGCCTAATGTGGCAGCCAGCACATGGTGGAAGTCGGGATGTGCATTTGCAACTTTTGGATTTGAGCATCTCTGGCCTTCGGTCCTAATGCGTGTACTTTGCACCTTTGCACACAACCTCCCAAGATGCGGATCCCTGCAACAGTGTCGAGCAGAGAAGCCATTCATTACACGGTGGGTGGCACGCAAAAGTTGCAAATGAATAAATCGCGAAGATATGAGGTTTGTGAATTTAGCTCCTATGGCGCCGATTTTCCAGTTTCTCCATGTTACGGCCCTGCTGGCACTTAGCCACTTAGAGGAGGCCCCAGGTATGGCCTGTTGTCCAAGAGTCTCGGCACATGAGCAAAAGCCTTGGCCGTGGGATGTACTCGAGATCAGCATGCGGATGTTGTGATGAGCTCAACACATTCCCTTGCTCTGCTCATCACGACAGCTGTATATGGAGGTTCTGTCGTCGAAAGGGGAAAGCGGCTTCCTTTGGTGCCTGCGCCCAGTTTCGCGCGCTGCCTCACCTTTCGAAACGTGGGATCACCAGATTTCGGCTGTAGGCCAAGCTAGCTACGCACCAACCATGAGGCCACAGGTGGTCCGAGTTGCATCTGCAGTCCGAGGCTCGCCATCGAAGGTGTTGTCTACGACCTCTCGTCTGCGCCTATGTGTTCTGATGTCACATGTCTCGTATGATCTGTTCACTTTCAGTCAGGCTTTGGAATGAACATCCCGGAGGTCTTCTCTTGCAGATGTGGCTCGCCTGCAGTGTAAAGTGCAAAGCAGATTTTGTCCGGCAGGTGTAGAAGCGCTGCGGCAAGTCGCAGGCTCGCCTCTCAACGATGGAAGCAAGAAAAATGAAGTCGCTCTTTGTTATTTTCTGTTGCAGAGGCAAGGATGCAACTGCAGAATTTCGCCAGGCAGCCACTTAGCCTCGCTCGAAAGCTTCCTGTTTGCGCAGAGTTCTAGGATTCTAGGTAGGGGAGCAAGAAGCAGAAGGTCACGAAATGAGACTAGCAGGAGATTTGGCTTTGTGCGAAGGTTTGCCCGGCCACCCACTCTTCTCTCGCCGCAGCCTACAGCACTTTGTCGAGGAACTCTCAGAGTTCTGTTCTCATTGCGCCTGAGGCGTCTGTGTCAAAATACCAGGCCAGTGCCACCGCCCATTGGGAGTCGCATCGCAGACCGGGAGATTCAAGCTTGCGAGGTTGGCGCTTTGAGACTACCTCCCCGAGAGTACCGCTGCTGCCTCAATGAAAACCAGCAGAGTAGAGTGCAACCGATTTCGGTAGACATGTTGAACCGTTGAACTCATGATCAGACTATATCAGACTTTTCAGCGAGGCATTTACGAACATCCAGTGGAGGAGGATTCCATGCGAAGGCTCGACAAGCACCTGCGCTCCAACAGAAGCCCGATGCCGTTCTGGTCGCAGCATGTCGAAAGCTGCAGCAAGTGGAGTTTCGGCACGTTGCTAAATCTCATGTGCACGGAGTATATCAAGGACTGTCTGTCTGTTGCTGGGAACCTTTTGCATGCTCACGCGTCCGGCGGAGTTGAACCGGACACAGCAGCATCCTATCGTGTGGGAGCTGGGCGGCCATCCTCCGACCTGCAAGCGACGTAAAAAAATCTCGGTTTTCCTGCAGTCTCTGTCGTCTCTGAGGCAAAATCGCGACAGCTGTAATCCCCCAATAGAAAATGTCAGACGTCCTTGCATGTGGATTGATTTCAGGCCTGCAGCCCTTCTGGGGGCTTGAGTAAATTCGTTCGTGGATTTTGGATCTTCACTATGTGGGGAAGAAAGCAGAATCTATCCAGTGTGTACATTATTACTGCTATTACGTTGCCCTTTCGCCATCCTCGGAGGCTGCTGGTAGTCGCGCACTTAGTCAAGCTGCAGATGCTAGTTGTCCAACCACAGAATATGCTTGTCTTGATACACTGGCTGATTTTGACCGAGTTTGCCCTGCCGAGCTTGGTGTTTGGTGTGATCGGTTTGCAGGCGCGGCAGCTTTGCGGTTCGCGCCGACTTTTGTTTGCATGCTTTCCCCTCAGGTTTTTCTCCAGCACCTTCAAGTGTTTTCCGAGGAGACCGTGCCCCGGCAGGTGGAACGTGGGCTGTCGTCAGCTGTGAGATTGTGCAGGTTTCGAGGCCTGGTCCACTCTGTGGGCTTCTGGCTGCAGTCGGCGCCGGTGTCTTGGAGTGTGCACCTGCGGCTTACATGCAGCTCGGACCTTTGTAAATGAAATTCGATGGCAGTGGAAGAGATTGATGCTGGGGGAGGTTCGGCGTCATGAGTCACTTTGGCTAGTGACTAGTATCCGTTTTGCGTACGAGCAATCCTGATGTATGCTGTCGATATTATTATCTGCTCTAGGCTTGCCGACTTATATTGCATTCAACTCATGTCGAGAATCAAGCCCTCTTTCACGACTTTCCGCCTCCAAGTTCCCGAGACCAGAGACTCCGACTGTCTTCATTCACCCCGACGTACAGGCCGTACAGGGGTACCCAAACCAGTAGGAAGACTCAAGCTGTCTTGACTCGTGATGTTCTATTCCAGGCTCGCCACTGCAATACTTCATGCTATACTTCAAGCTACTTCTTCCTGAGGTCTGCAACTGTACCGACAGGTGCCCGACGTAGGACCGAGTGTTCGCCGCTGTGAACGATGACTTTAATGGAATCCTACTCAGCCCTACTCCTCGCACCGGTCGGTGCTTCGTGAGTGTAGCTGCACACGCAGAATTCTAGTTGTGTCTGTATGACGCTGTGTCGCGCTGCCTCAGAGCAGTCTAGTCGCCCTACATCATGCCCCATGCGGACCACGCAATGCGCAATGAGAATGAATGGCGCCCGAGGCTGCGGCCTTTGGTCTCGTCCTGCCTATCAGGCCGAGCCCCCCTAACTGTGACAGATGCACTGTTCTGGTTCCGAGCATCTTTGTGAGTCGCCGCCTTGGTACCTCTGGCAGCTCTGGCTTTTGCTGGTGTTTGCCTGAGTTCTGAACGTGGCAGATCTGTGGATTTCAGCGGCCCAGCCACAGTGACTCAGGCGTGCTCATGCCATCGTGCGAGTCTCGGGTCTCGGTTGAACTTGTTGCGAGCTGGGGTGCGGGAGCTGCGTGGAAGGCGCTCTGCTTCGTTGGCCTGTACGCGGTCATTCCGGGCGCCGCCTCCTCCAGCTGGGCACTGCTCGGAGAAGCTGCACCCCAAGGTTGGGGCACTCAGGAGACAGCAAACTCCAGACGGCATGCGGGGCAATCGACTTCGGGTGATGACTGCCAGCCGAGCCAGAGTGAGCCAAAGACACAGGACGAGATCAACCAATTCAAGGTGTTCTTTGGCATAAGAGGAGTGGGCAGTCCGACATTCCTCCAATGTTGCTTCCAGCAAACCTCGGTTCAATCTCCTTATGCCGGCATCGGCGCTGAAGCATGGCATTGATGACCACATGGATGAAATGTGATGAAATGTTTCACTCGACGCAGCTGCCCTGTGCCACCATCGATTTCAGTGCACTGGTGCGAGCAGAGATTCGGCACACAACTGGCAACTAGTAGCAAGACTCCCCAAAAATAGATTGCATGCTGCTTGATAGAGCACCGACAACATCTTGGGCTACTCCTCCTGGTCGACGGCCCAAGCGACAGAAAGAAGAAGACTTTTGGCAAGATCTTGACCGCTGGAGATCTCGTCTCGCACAGCATGCTGTCTAGAAAGATGCAAAATGGTCTTCATGAGAGTGGAGTGGCATCGGGAGAGACTGCTGCAAGAGATGATCACTCTGTAACCACTGGTTCGGCGATGACAACAAGCGGTGAAGTTGTGTCGCGAGATGAAACAAGTGACACACAGCTTGGCAACTCCCAGGTCTCGAAAGGATCTCTGTGGGTCTTCTTGCTGTGGAGATCTTGTTGTCGTCAGTCTGCGCCTTTGAGCGCGGCATGTGCAGTCACAAAACAACGAACACACGCACATGATTCAGGCTATCAGGCCACCGGTGCTTCCCGCATTTCTGTGCGTCCTGAGTTGGTACGATCGAGGCTGGGGCAGAAATAGGTCTGTGAAGAACGATTTCATCTGTTGTCAGGCCTGCATTCGTCCCATTTCTTCGATGAAGGTGCAATTCTTTTCATCAGACTTTCTATGTTTTGTTGCAGAAGAAGATTGGAGGGCCGCAGCTCAATGACCTTTCCGCAGTTTCTCAGGCGTCTACGTCCCGTGGCGTTGGTGCATGGCCTGTGTGGGCTTCATCGTGCTCACCGTGTTTGCGCCCTAGAGTGAAGTACTTGAGAGGGAGTCCAAGTCAGCTCGGCCGAGGCGGCTGGCGGCGGGCCACGGCGCGGCCGTAAGGAGGGCCCTGATTCTCATGGCACTCTATGCTCCTGCCGGGGTCGCAAACTCGGCTCTCACAGTTGGTTGAGCTAACAGGTTAACAGGCTTCGAGACTCGGTCGGAGCTTTCGAGCTGTTTCAGCCGGAAGGTCAAACATTGGTTGCTTGCGTCTGACGACGGCTAGATTGAGTTGTCACTTTGTGAACGTTTCGCGGGGGACTGTTGAGAGAAACGGCAGCCTCGGGTGGCTGCACTGATGACTGATTACTAGTGTGAGGACGCGGGCAATGCAGAGGCAGGAGGAATACTATGACGACGACTGCTTGTACTGTTAATCGGACTTGTGAAAGTTTCCGAGTTAGCCTGACCTGATCATGCATCCGCTGTTTTGTGCTCCGTTGTTAAGCTTTACCTCCGCGTCAAACGCAGCCGATACGGCTCCTGGTGCGTAGCAGCAAAAAGTGTCGCTCGAAGTTTTGTCGCATGACTTTGGGCGCTGGCTTTTGATTTAGCTTTTGCATTGGTCACGCGGAGCAGGGCCATATGACTGGAGCAACGGATGCTAGCGAAGCGAGTACGGGCCAAGATCTCCAGCAGGGAGAGAGGCCGGCCGAGAGTACTCAGCAGAGCAGTGATGGGCAGCAACATGATGCTGCTCGCTGGAACTACTGGAATCCCCATGGGTCGAGGGATTGGTGGCAGGCGAGTGGCAGAAGAGCCTATGGAGGCTCGTGGGACAATACGTGGCAGCCGCAGTGGTGGACCTCTCCTTGGCAAGGACAGGGTTGGCAGCAAGCTTCTAGAAGCAATGATTCAGAAGGCCGGACGTCTGCCGGCCCTCAGCAGTCAAGCAATAGCAGGAGTGGAGAAGCCTCCACTGGCAATAGTCAGGAACACAGCGATTCCAACAGGCGGCAATCTATGTCTACGATGGATGAGGAGACATGGGCTGGTGAGGCTACCGGTTCGGTCGACGAAGGATCGAGAGATGAGCCGGCGTCCAGCAGGGGCGCATCTGCAAAGAGCGGGAAAGACTTTATCCCGGAGTATGACGGGACTGCGCCCATGAGGGAATACCAGAGGCGGGTCAATCTGTTTGAGATCAGTACGAGTATTGATCCGAGTTTTCGGGCGCAGAAGCTTATGGAGAAGCTTACAGGAACGGCTTGGTTGGCCACGGAGTCGATCCCGCTGGAAACGTTGAAACACACCGAGGGGGTGAAGAGGCTCATGGACCACTTGTGGAAGGAGTTGGAGCCACTGGAGTTTTTGAGGACGTTCCAGACGCTTGCAGATTTTTATAAAGGGTTTCGCCGTGCAAGAGGCCAGGAGTTCGTCGCTTATGACATGGAGTTCCGACGCCACAACCAGCGGCTGGAAGAAATATCAGCGGGACTGTCGGGAGTCACGAAGGCCTATTGGTTCTTAGAAAAGGCCGGACTCTCCTCGGAACTTCGCAAACAAGTCGTAGCGGCGGCGGGTGGCCAGTATGACTATGCCAAGTTGCGTTCTGCGGTGATGGCCATAGTGCCACAAGTCCATCGTGAGGATGAGGCTACGCAAAGCTCAGCCCCGGCCAATCATCGTCAGTGGCGGAAAGCAAGTGCCAAGGTTCATGCCACGGTGGAGGAAGATGATGAAGGCCGGGAAGAAGTGCAAGATGCTGAGGAGGGCTCTGCCAGCCCTGAGGTCGAGCTTTTGGAGGAGGAGCTGCAGTGCCTGATGACGCAAGCAGCTAAGAAAAGAGCACAAGTTGAACGTGCTCGTGGATATGGAACGGCTGGTGCAGGAAAAGGGTCTCGACAAGAGACCCCTGAGGCTCGACAGAAAAGAATTGCGGAGCTGAAGCAGAAGATGCCATGCTCGGCATGTAAAGCTCATGGCAAAACAGTTTATGGGCACTGGCACTCGGACCCTGAGTGCCCACACGGGGGTGCCAAGAAGCCTTTCAGGTCGAGCGGAGAAAAGGTGCTGGCGGTGGTGGAGGAGGACGAATCATCTGATTCGGACCACCTTGCGCCTGGCCCTGTTGACATCTTCATGGCCACAGAGAACTGGTGCGCAAGCGCAGTGTCAGGAGAACGCGATGCTGAGGACAACAAGCTTTTGGCTTTGTCTGACACGTGCTGTGCAAGGTCAGTGGCAGGGGAAAAATGGGCCAAGGCGCACATGAAGCACCTACACCAGCAGGCAGTGGATGTCTACATCGTTGACGAGGACAGGCCTTTCAGTTTGGTGCCGGCCCGCGAGTTTCGTCGTCGTACAGTATGGTGTTTCCGGTATGTGTATCTGGGGCAGCTACCACGCCATGGATCAGGGTGAGCATCGTCTCAGAGGACGTTCCTTTGCTTTTGAGCAAGGGAGCACTGAAGGCCATGGGGGCCCGACTGGACCTAGCATCATCGACGATCGAGCTCACCCGACTTGGAGCCATCGCCCCTCTGGTGGAGACGAGCTCTGGTTTGTGTGGTTTTGTGATCAACGAAGGAAGAGCTCCAGATGGAAACGGCACAGGATTTCCCCCAGTCAACATGATTGAGGGGGAGGCAGAGGTAGGGTTGGCCGGTGACGACGCACCCTCAGAGGCGTCCGTGCATGTGGCTATCAAGGACGACGAAGAGGACTGCGAGCAGATGGCCGAGCGCTTATTTCGACAAGGAGAGTTTTCATATGAGAGCTTGGAAGGTTTGGCCGAGAAGTTGCCCATCATCAAGAATAAGCAGCGCGCCATCAACGGCAAGGCTCGAAAGCAGATGCAGGGGATTACAGCTGGCTTGTGGGCACACGGGAACATGCAGGGCGTGACGAAGAACAGTCAGCGTTTTCCCCACACCATCAGATACATCAACGCGTTTGTCAAGAGCAAGTCTGATGGCGCATGGACGTCCTTCGTCCTTCTCCGGAATGTCCGAATGACCCTCCACAAGGACAGCCACAATGCCAAGGACTCCGCGAGCTTGACGGTATCCTTCGGCAGCTTCGGTGGTCATGGTGGAGAGCTATGGATAGCTGGACCAGGAGAAGGTGCAGACCAGGTGGCCAAGGTCCGTGTGGATACGTCTGGGCGGAGGATAGAAGGCCACTTGGTGGATACGTTTCAGAAGCCATATCAGCTGAATCCCAAAATTCAGCATGCTACGCAGCCGTGGACGGGAGTGAGATGGTGCCTGTCTTGCTATACGTCCCGCGCCTATGAGAACCTGGGAATGGACGAGCAGAAGTCTCTTCTGGATCTGGGTTTTCCCCTTCCCGTTGCTTCGAGTTCCAGGACCTCTGGGAGGGTTGTAGAAACTTTTAACACTTCATCAAACTACCAGGAGCCGTATGCATTTTCCGATGAAGTGAGTAGCCCAATTGCGCAAACTCCATGTTTAGCCACGGATGGGTCTGTGGCTCAGCAGAAGGGTAGTGCAGAATCCGAAGTTGTTCTCGAAAGTCAGTGGACTGACGGTCATGGCGGACAAGTTCACGGCCCCCAAGCGGAAGGAAGAGTATGTGCAGGCGATCCTTGCCCGCAGCACCATCGATGTGTACAACCTCCGGAAGCTCGATGTGGAGCGCTTGAAGCAGATCTGGACAATGGTGAAGCCACGCAAGCCTGCGTCGCCCCTTCCCGTGGGGTGGAAGAAGCTGGACGTGGCCGGGCTGAAGGAGATCTACGACAAGGTTGTCAGGACCGACCTGGAAAGAGAGGACGACGGTCATTGGCAGCGGTGGCATCGACCACAGCTGGTGACCGAGATCGATCTTTGGCTAGCCCAAGTTCAGGAGGAGAACAAGGATGCCCCCGAGGACCTGTTCCACGAGAATCCACTTTGCTCTCGGTGTGCCATACCAATGGTGGTGAGGACGAATCGAGTCACGAAGACCGACTTTTTCGGTTGTCTCATGTTCCCGGTATGCACCGAGACACTTCCCCTCAAGTATGCCGGCATGCCGACGAAGCACGTGCAGGAAACCATCGGCCCCAAGATCGCCCCGAAGAAGAAGGATCTCCTAGAAGTCAAGAGTGGAAAGGGATATGGAACCAAGGGGTTGAGTGCGCACAAGAGGCGGGACAAGAATTTCGCCGACGAGCCGGGAGTTTCTTCGGATGGGTCATGGCTCCCAACCGGGAGCATTCCGATCGAGGAGGCCGAGGACGAGGCCGATCGACTCTACAATGCCAACGTGACTGCCGAGGAGATGAAGATGTTGCACGATCTTCGGAAAGCCAAGCAGGGCGGGACCGACTGAGCTCAGAGATTGAGACGACGGCCACAGCAGGACGATCAGACAAGTCGGTAGACGATGCAGTGCATTTTGCTGAGAATTGTAAGACTTGTAAAGCCGAGGCACTTCCCAAGTCCCGTGAAGAGGTTCGTAGGTGTATTGTTGAGGGTAATCAGAGGAGGCTTCATCTGAAGAAGGGTCTTGTGAAAAGATTCTTGGGAAATGCCAAGGCAGTTGCAGCAAGTGTGCTGATAGCCTCGACAGCGGCCGTCGGAATGGCTATGCAGTCCATTCCCCAACGATCTTTGATTCGGCCTGATCTGTTAGAGGTGGCTGACGGAGAAGCACATGTCACTAATATGTTCAGTCGATGGGGATGGAGTGTCGCCCGTCCTATGAACACCGAACTGGTGAGTGATCCGTATGATGCTGATGGTAGAAGTCTCTTGAAATGTGTCGATCGATACGAGCCTCGCTTGGTGTTGATCAGGTGTCCTCGAAACGTTTGGTGGTCTCAACACATGCATATTGGAAGCACGTCACAGGAACGTAGAAGAGTTCGCAAGCTGAAACAGAGACATGAAAATTTCTTCAGAGTTTGTGAGAGAGTGTTTGAGAGACAGATCAAACGTGGAGATGACGCTATCATGGAGAGTCCTGTGACGAGTGCGCATGACGATTCATGTCCAGTGCAGCATGTGGTTAAACATCCTGACATCTTTGCTGTGGTGAGCCATCGTTTGACAGTGACAGGGATTCAAGGACAGAATCGTCAGGACTCCTGTGAGCCCGCGCTCTGGCTGAGCACCTCAGTGGAAGTGTGTAACCAGATTGCACAGAAATGTTGGATGCCTGATAAGACAACAGGTGCGGCAGCCAGGTCACAAGCTCCTCGGAAACTTGCTTCAGCTATCTGTCGGGGATACGTAGATACCCTGAAAACCAAAGATCCAGGACGTATTCGCAAGTTGCTTCGACAGGTTGCTGCAAGGATTCGTTATGCCAAACAGGCTGACGTAGTCCGGGACTTGAGATGGAATGAAAAGAACATAGCTAAGGCGCTGTCTAGGTGGAGTGCAGTTTTCGCAGTTGGTTCCCAGAGCACAGGGAATCAACAAACAGATCAGCCCATGACCCAAGCCCTGGAGGACCCACTGGAGGTAGACGAGGAGGAGCTTCTTGAAGACGTCCCAATGGGCGATACCGAGAGGTCACTCCGCAGTGGCTTGGCGCTTGAGCCCTGCCATCCAGGATGGACTGAAGAAGGCACATTGTAATTTAGGTCATCCTAGTCCTAAGGATTTGCAACGTTTTCTTAGGCTAGGTGGAGCTAAACAGGAAGTCCTGGAGGCAGTAGACTGGATGCGATGTGTTTCATGTGCTCATTCATCACGACCTAGGACCCATAGGACCACGAATATCCCCCCTTGCTCGATTACTTTCGGTGATGAAGTGCATTTGGATTGCATCTGTGTCCATGACAGTGTACCAGAGTCGCATTGGTTTCTGTCGATTGTCGACCGGGCCACATCATATCATGTTGTGGAGTTACTTAGAGATCATACTCCGGCCGAGCTTAACAAAGCTTTCGACAGAGCCTGGGCGAAGTGGGCAGGCCCGCCACTGAGGGTCAGTGTGGACTTTGAGGGAGGCTTCCGCGGCAAGGAGTTTTGGACAAAGGTCGGGGAAGCCGGAACCTCATTGGTTTCGATTGCCGGGACCGCTCATTGGCAAGCTGGGAAGGTTGAGAGACACAACCAAACTGTCAAGGACATGCTTAGAACGGTCATACGTCAGACTGGGGCTAAGGGTCGGGAACAAATGAAGGGGGTTGCTAGAGAGGTTGGATGGGCGAAGAACAGCTTGGTTCGTGAACATGGTTGGGCCCCTAACGCTGTGGTGTTCGGAAAGGAGCCTAGGGTGTTCGGTGAACTTCACAGTCAGGGTGAACCAAACGCTTTTCATCCTCGGGTCGGTGATGCTGATAGTGAAGTTGCTAGGAGGATGAGATACCGGTATCATGCCAAGATTGAGTATATTCGGTCTCAGGCTAGACATATGCTCGCACGTACCGCTCACAATCGGGTCCGGAAGATTACTAATCCTAGGATCGGCCAGTTGGTTTTCTTTTGGAGAGCTGAGAAGAAGAAAGAGCCCAGCCGATGGGTGGGACCAGGATACATTGTGGGCCTTCAGGGGCATAATGCCTGGGTGGCGGTTGGTGGCAGGTGTTTTCTGGTGGCTGGAGAGCACTTGAGAGAGGCATGCGGGGATGAGAGACATTATGGTGACCCTCAGATCCAGAAAGCAATTGCGTTGTTTAAGAAAGTTCCTGAGGAGGCGACTTTTGAAGACTTGACAGGACAGCAACCGCCAGCAGAGGAACCAAGTGTCATGGAGGATCAGCCGATGTGTCAAGACGTTGCACGGGACATAGGTGATGTTGCAGAAGGTGCGGCTGATCTTCCTGCATCTCTGGCGAAGCTTGCTGGAACGGTCGGATGGAGCCACGACGAGCTGGGGAATCCTACACTTGTCACATATCAAGCTTGGGCTTTCAGGACTCCCGAAAGCAAGTATGAGGCGCATAGGTTCCCTTACCGTTCCACGTGGGCTCGTTTTGAGGGAGAGTGGTCATGTCTTGAGCGAGAGTGCAAGTGGATCGAGATGAGTAATCAACATGAGTTCCTGCCACGTGCCCCCGCGGAGATCTTGATCACAGTCTTTCATGGTAGGACTAGAAAAGAAATGTGTCTCGAAGATGTTCCTCACTTCATGAAAAGACACAAGGCCGGTGAGCATCAGGTCCAAGCTGTCCAGTTCGGGGGAGTGATCGGGAAGAATAAGCTGAAGCGTATGATGGAGAAAGAAATCCCTTATGATCAAATCCCAGAGAGTGAGAGAGAGGTTTACAGACAGGCTGAGGAAAAGGAATGGGATAGTTGGAATCAGTATGAGAGTTGTGAGGTGTTGAGTAAAGAAGAGAGCAGTAGGCTTGAGCGAGAGTGTCCCAGTCGCATCCTCCCCAGTCGATATGTTTACCGGAATAAAAATGCTGGCCTTGTGGATGAAGCAGGAAAAGCTTTGCCGACCCGAGCCAAGGCTCGGTTATGCCTTCAGGGGCACTTGTGCCCTGACTCACGATCAGGACAAGTCCAGGTCGACTCTCCTACGGTTGAAAGGGTGTCTACCATGTTGTTCCTTCATATGGTCGTGAGCTTCGGTTGGATGAAACATTGGTACATAGGAGATATCAGCAATGCCTTCCTTCAAGGGGCTCCCCTGCAGGGTAAACCTATGTATATGCGTCCTCCGAAACAGGGTCTCAAAGGAGTGGGACCTGGGCAGTTGCTACGACTGCTTAAGCCCGTCTACGGACGGCCAGATGCGCCTCGGGCATGGTATGAAGAGCTGGCCAAGGTGTTAGTTCAGGAGATCGGTTTCTCTAAGTCCCAGATAGATCCCGCGATGTTCATGCTTCGAAATCAACAGGGTGTGTTGGTTGGATGTATGATAGTTCATGTGGATGATCTTATGGTATGTCATGACGGATCTACGTTTGCCACTCAAGCTGTGGAACGATTAGGAAAGCGCTTTCCTTTTGGGACTTGGGAGAACGTGTCTGAAAAGCCTAGTGGGGTGACGTACTGTGGCAAGGAGATCAAGATTGTCAAAGACAATAGCGGGGAGTATGTTTCTTTGTCGCAGAACGCGATCCTCGACGGAAGGCTCCAAGAGATGGAGATTGCTAAGGAGCGTCGAAAGTCTCCCGAAAGCCTGGCCACACCAGAGGAGATGGCAAATTATCGATCGGTTGTGGGCAGTCTTCAATGGTTGGCAACTCAGTCGCGGCCAGACTTGTGTTTCGAGACGAACCAGCTTCAGAAGAGGATCTCAGATCTGCGTGTGAGCGATTTGATTCGAGCTAACAAAGCCGTGAGGGAAGCAGACAGCAATCGCATGCAGATCGTTTTTCGAGATCTCGGCAGGGATGCTCAGCTTGTTGTTTACACAGACGCAGGGTTATACTCAAGTGTCGGCGTTGAGATCGATGAGAGGGAGTGTGAAGATCTTCTGTTGTCAGACAGGTCGAAGCGTCTTGTGTATTCCCAGAAGGGCGCGGTGGTAGGATTCGTGCGAAAAGGATCGACTGACATTAGGGGTGAGCTGGCTCACATCAATGTGTTGGACTGGCGTAGCACCACTAACAAACGAGTCATCGAATCCAGTTTCTGCGCGGAGACTCATGCTGCTCTGATGGCTATCGGCATGGGACATTTCTGTCAAGTGTTGATGAGTGAACTCCGTTTCGGTTCTGACATTGTCGGTGCAGTGGAAGATGACGGTTGGAATGATTTGGTGGCGATGTCGCTCATTACTGACTGCAAGTCGATTTATGATACGGTTCATAAGGATGGGCAACATGTCTCAGATAAGTCCGGAGTCATTCAGGCAGTGCTTTTGCGTCAGCTTTTGACTACACGTCACGCTCCTGGAAAATCGCAGCTCCTGTGGGTTCCCACGAGGCATCAGTTAGCTGATGGGCTTACCAAAGGGGGTAGGAGCAGAGAGCTTCGTGAAATCCTTGAGCAAGGGGTGACCTTTCGCGAGGAGGCAATTAAGCGGAGAGGATCAGGTCAGAAAGATAGTAGGACTAGTGTGAAAGTTTCCGAGTTAGCCTGACCTGATCATGCATCCGCTGTTTTGTGCTCCGTTGTTAAGCTTTACCTCCGCGTCAAACGCAGCCGATACGGCTCCTGGTGCGTAGCAGCAAAAAGTGTCGCTCGAAGTTTTGTCGCATGACTTTGGGCGCTGGCTTTTGATTTAGCTTTTGCAGGACTGAGTTCCACAAAGCGTTGATAGGCTTACCTTTAAACAGGTTAACTTGGAGTGGGGGAGAGTGCCGGCATAACTTCGGCATTCCACCAGCATTCCGAAGACACTGTACCCGGTACGCAAAAACGTGAGATTATTCATAAATTACATAAGATCAATACACCTCCGCAGGCCTAGTCTGTAGCTGGCCATGCTCCATTCGTGTTTTATTACTTTGCCACGTGCACACCTGGATCTGGTTTTTACATGTGGGGACTTGCCTCAACCTGTTTAAGCCAAACTTGTACATCGGTGCAATTCAAACCTCGTAACGGCCGTCGTGATACCAATGTTTTTTGCAGGGACAAAGACCGAGGGCTTAGGAATCTGTTCAAGGGTCTGAGTCTGTCTCCGCTTAAAGCTCCGAGTTGCACGGTTTGGTGTTTTCAGTGCTCTTAAGCTTCAGATGTCAGGATGCCGAATCAGCGTAGCGCTCGGCTCAACAAGTGGAGCCTAGATTGGTTTCGGGTTCAGTCCGACTAGCAAAGCTCGACATGAAGTCCCTGTCGTCGCTAGCTCGACTGTTTGAATCGAGCCATGAGTGTTCAAACATCCAGGTTGGGGTCTACATTGCGCTGCAGCCGGACTCCAGTGAACTCTTGCAACTCTTTGCCGTGCGCTCGGATCGTGTCGCCATTGCTTGCGCATGTAGTTCGGTGAGTTGCACAGTTCTTGCGCGCAGTTTCGGCTTGTGGGCTCTTGCAGTGTGAAAAAGCTGCTTAGGCATCACCTTTGAGAGCCGGTGCGACTCTCGTTGAGGATGTGCACAGCTTGCACGCGTCATGTCGAGTTATTTTCATCATTTTGGGTGTGGTTCTCAGCCGCACCATCAATGCAGATGCAGATATGCATTCCCGTACCCGTGTCGCAGACTGCATCCACGGCATAGTCGCGCACTTTTCCTTGTGTTGATGTCATAGCAGATTCCAAACGAGGGAAACCATCATAAATATCTCTCGGAAACACTTGATTGCGGAGCCTTTCCTGACGACGTGTCTAATGGTTCCAGGCCTGCAACTTCTGTTGTGCTGCGGCAAAAGGGAAGTTGCACCTCTGCCTTTGCTGGCGGGGCAAGTTCTTGCGGCGCTGAATTCCACTGACTTTTATGCTTCGAGCATTGCGAAGATTATCGAAGAGCCTTCCAGGTCTCCTCCTCTTCGCCAGCTTCGCCTCGCTGTTCGCGGTGTGTGGTGTGCTGGATGTGGCGACTTGTTTGCAGAGGCTCCGGCCTCCAGGAACTACTCAGACTACCTGCATTCGAGGCCATCCGCTGTTCATCCCGCTTTGCCACACGCTGCTGGGCGCTCGGGCTACGGCTACGGACAAGCTAAGCGGCCTGTGCTGAAACTTGCCGGGTCAGGTTTGCAAGACTTATGGCCAGCTTTGAACTTTAGTTGTTCAGCGACTCATCGCCAGGCACAGCCTGATGCATATTCGGCATGTCGGTCCTGTATACATGACACAGTGTGGGCAACTTTCGATGTGTTTGCAAGATGCACCTGTATGTAGAGCTCAGTGGCTCATACCCAGCACTTCTCTCGCACTCCATGAAGGGTCTACACGCGAAGCCCGGAAAGGGCCCGGTTCGCTAGCCCTTGACCGACTGCACCCTTGAATGAAAATGTCCGAAGGGTCTGGGCAGCTTCGGGTTCCTTGTGCTTGCAGCTTAGGGATTCGAGTCCGTCCCTTCGTAGTTTCATTGTCCATGTGCGTTTTTTGCTACACGAGAATTGCACACAGGCCAATCTTTGTTGCAAGACGCTGCAGTCAGGTGTAGCCTTCAGTTTCGCGGTCATGAGCTTCGTTGGTTGCGGACTGTCCAGGCGGGTGTGATGACAGGTGCAGATGAACCTGTCTGTTCGGGTACCTGGCTGAGTCGATTTTTGCGTGAGAAGGAAGGATGGAGGGAAGGGGAGAGAGCGAGAGACAAATGGGCCGCTCCTGGAGCGCGGGGAGGTCGCTTCTCCACCTCTCACCCTTGTGAAAAAAAGAGAGAGAACTGACCCTGGCCCAAGTCCTGGCCTTGCTTCTCCAGCCTCGGCTGTCCAGCAGCCCAGCAGCCCAGCAGCATTTCGCGGAAGCGAGGCTGCTCTTGCTACAGAATGGAGGAGGACCTTGAGTGACTTTTCACAAACAAACCCGAGGCCCCTACGCTGCAGTGCCGTCCAAAAGCACCGGGCGGCCCAACTCCCGCACACCTGACCTTGAGAGTCGAGAGAGGGCATGCGGGCCGAAAGTTCTGTTCCTCTGCCCACCCACATTACATGCAACTTCTCGTAGGACGTCCGTCAGACACGTCGGGGAGCGTTGCATGCAACTGCAGCTGCAACACCTGAAGCATGTTTCGAGTCGAGGCACTTGGGTGACCACACAGTGAGCCACAGCGGCCAAGAAACGAAGGCATGTTGTCCCGCATGAGAAAACAGGCACGCATGGTCCATGGTGGACTAAGTGATTGTGACCGGCGCTGCACACAAAACTCGGGCCAGCTAGGACATGCCAGGACCTGGGAGGGGACAGGGTGCACACTCTTTTTCTGTGTCGACCCACAGAGGCAATCTGAGTTTCACGGCGAGGGCCAAGAGCACATACACTGCACGGCGCAAGAAGCCCTTGCGAAACGACAAAGTCTGTGGGCTTTGTGTGCACGTGTCCTCCTGCTTGTTCAGTTGGCGTTGGCTGATGGCTGTGGCAGTGCTTCTGCACTTCCTGGAGCTCTCAAGGCACATGAGCGGAGTAGTTTGTATGTTTAACTTTGGACTGGGAAGTGCCAAGCTGTACGAGACAGGCATCACCGCGCTGACTTGGATAAGGTCCGTCCGTGAATCTTCACGCAGCGCATCGCAGCGCATCGGTGCACATCGGTGCGTCATAATTAGGTGCTAAGTGAGATTCGAGGCCGCCTTGGCCGGAGGATTTGCGGAGCTGCCGTGGCACTTCGTGGGTGCACAGGCGCGGCTCGAAAGGCCTCTCAGGTGTGCGGAGTTTTGTTGTTCCTCAGGCGCTTTGGGACACCAGTCGTGTCTCCTTCCTGGGCTCCATCTGGAGGCACATGCGGCAAAGTTTGCTTCGTGCTCACGAGGCGATTCATGGTCCATGGTGGCAGTGTGCTTGCGGCTGGGCGTGTTTCAGTCTTTCTCTCCTGGTGGCAGGGCCACCGTGTGCAATCTGCAGAATGCCTGTCCCTCATTCTTCGTGCGACCGAGTCGTCATGCTGTGTGCGAAGTCTAAACCACTGATAGACCAGAGCGGTATGGTGGGGTGTGGATCAAGAACATGTCCCAATTCACCGGGCCTTGTGCGTGGACTTTGCACTTGGGTTCAGATTTCGGCCTGTCAGGTGGTGACACCAATCCTTCCCCATGAGCTCCGGGTCTATGCCTGCGAGGCTTGGGAACGTGACTACCAGCAGCATCTAGCTACGCAAGCGCTCACTTGGGATCCAAGGCACCAGTTCCATATTACGGAGAGCAGGTCGAAAGCTTAGCCTCGTGCAGACCGACGCAAAGGGCTAGCAATATACGTGCTGTCCAACGACTCACTAAATCTGACTCTCAAATGATGTTGAACAGGCTCACCTTGCCCAGTCTGGCTCCAGCCACCAAAGCCCATTCTTGCCTTCATGTATTGAGTAGGGAAGTTGACATGGTTGGTGGCGCGTTGGCGCCCCTGCAATCCTAGGACTGCAAGAGCACGAAGACACTAGCCTGCGCGATGCATTATGCATGTCTATTGAAAAGGGCGAAGCAACGGCGTAGGCTAGACTTCTTTGGAGGGGAAAAACTGCAAAGCTGAAGGCTTAACTCCGAGTTCCTGCCGTGAGGATGCGATTTCGGGGGGTAAACTGTGTTTCGGGAGGACAGAAGAAAGGGTTATGTAGGCCTTCAGAACCAGAAGAGGGCTTTGCAAGGGTGTGGTAAGGACAGTGCAGGCATGAGTCTTAGTGAGAATGGTTCGGGGCAGCTATTTTGCAGCAATGTCTTCAACGCACCGCATAGCTTCGAGCTGGACTTAAACTCTGAACTTTAAGCCGCAAAACATCCTAAAGCCTATGGCAGCAGCAGAACAGGTCTCTAAGTGCAAGACCTAAAACATCCTGAAGCCTAACATGGTTTAGATCCGCATCCTAAAGCATAAGGCATAAGAGGCTTCAAGGAGGGTTAAGTTCCCCGCGAGGGCGACCCAGCCGCCTCGGCACAGACGTCATTGCAGAAGCAGAAAAGCAAAAGTGGCAACCTCCAGAACAATCCCTCAGAATCCGAAGTGTTCGAAGCACCAGACAAACATCGTAAATGCCGAGTCGGAAAGCTGAACAGTGAACAAAGCACCAGGGCGCCAATGCGCTACCGACCAACTACATTAAAACCAAAGTCTTCTTGGAATCCCTTTGCCCGACTCAGGTGGCAATGGGTCTGGCAGCACAGTATGTGCCGCCAAAGGCCTGATTCCAAGTGTTCCTGCTGAAGCCCAATTGTCACCTGCGTTTGCTATCGCCGTCAGTGAAGGCACGTGGGAAAGACCCGCGCAGACCAAATTTCTTTGTCTGCAACGTTGGTGCGGCACTTGCATTTGCCAAGTGTGATCCTCTTGACCGATGGCTTTTGCTGTCATGGGTGCATCACACCAGAAGCTCGCAGTAGCCACTGTCCACTGTCTTTGTGAAAAAGCGTAGGCACAAGAGAACCGCTGTTGAAGTTTGGGCAGATCACCAAGCATCGGCAAGCTTTGAGCTCCCAGAATCCTATAGCAGGATTGTTGAGCACCCTTGAGATCTTCGGAGCTCCACGACACAGAATCCAAAGCATAATCACCACAATCAGCAAGGCAGATGATGCTGACAGTCTGTTGTTACGCCCTCGCTTTGGACTCGTTCTTAAAGCCCTTCAACCAATGGCTCCGCACACCACACTGTAAATTGTAAATACCAGGGTACTGCAAATGATCTTACCGGTCTATAGCTGTCGAGCCACTTGAAAGTCTCCAAATTTGTGCTTCGAGCATGCGCAAACCATGAATGGAGCGCATAGTGTTTGGTGGCACCAGGTCAGATCGTGGAGTCCTGCATAACGGATCTGCAGTCGCATCCTCGTATGCTTGCCACATGGCTGCCTTTCCACACCCGGCATAGCATCCGAAAGCTGACCGTGCCCCAGGCACACTATGAACACCCTCGTCGATGCGCCTGTCTCATGTTGTCAGGCTTCGCTGGTATGCTCGTTCTGGCGGATTTCAGTTCGAGTTTTGATCGGGGCTTTCAGCATATTTGATGCGACACGACATGCGCTGTGACACACCTGGATGCACACCAGGCGTTCAGAATGGGTATTTGGTTAGCTTATAGTTTATTGACCAATGGTTCGTAGTCTTCCGTTGATGTCATCTAATCTAACTGCATGTTTTTATAACCTCAGTGAAAAGGCCTGTGTTCTGGGGAACGGGGTGCGGATACGGCGGGGAATGCCGAGCTCCACCCTCTCGCACAGCTGATCTCGGAGCCACCAATTGGAGAAGGGCTGCCAAATATGCGAACATCCATTGGCAACGTGCACCTCCTAAGCTTAGGGAACGATGCAAGATCATTCATGCTGCGGGTGAACTGGGTGAGCTCGAGCTGACTGTGTAGGGCATGCCGTGCATTCAGCAATTGGAAGCCGACAGATGGTCTGAGGTTTGGGATGAGTTCCATGATCCCAATCTTCCAGGTCTCTGTGCAAACGTCGCTTAGACAGAAATGGAGACGCGATACGTCGCGTCGATCCGCATTGCCTTGGTCCGAGGTGGTCATGGTGATCCCCAGCTCTGACCAGGGCTGGGCCAAGGCAGGAGCCAATTTGCGCGGGAGTGTCTGGCCGAGCCTTGCCCCGCAGGAGATCAATCTTTCGGTCTGGGAGTCCGGGAAGGTGCGCTCTCCCCCTCTCCCCTCGCCCTGCCTCCCTCTCCCATTCTTCGTGCAGCGCCAAAGCATAGGATGCCTTCGATTGGTACGTGAAGAGCAAGGCCCGGAGAAGTTGCGCGCACGTGCGCTTGGCCGAGCCCTGCTCTGAGAGCTCTGCTGCGCAGGGGCACAAGAAAGCACTGACACACCCTCAGCTTCAGCTCGCGAGAGTGGTCTTTGCAGCTGTCATGCATTGCATGCATCCCGTCATGTTCGTGACGAAGGATGGAGCACACGTCTGGCATCCTCCGCACGTTTGGCAATCTTTTGGCTTCCCTGGAGCCTGCCGAGCCGATCAAATATCAGGACCTTAGCCTGCTTCCCGACATTTTAGCGCTCAAGTACGGCGGAGTACCAACCATGTCTGCACAAGAGCATGGGCAAGCAACCGCCGTGTTGCTCGTCTTGGCTGCAAGAACATGCGTATGTTGCGGTGCGAAGTGCGTTGCTGTGCCAGCAATGTGTTGTCAGGACAGATGCCGACGATGCGGGCGCACAGTCGAGGCAGCTGAGAATTTCAGAGTGACAGAAACAAGATCGTCAAGTGTTACCTGGTGAGGGTCTATAGTGTCGGATGTCAAACTCGTTAGGGAATATGCTGCCGGGAAATAAAACGTTGCGATTCGTATGATCGAGAGAGAGAGAGAGAGAGAGAGAGAGAGTAGCCATTTTGGCTCAAGTCGACCTGCCGCTCTCCCTTGGGGGGGCGCCTAAGGCCGGCCCTCTGAGATAGCTGGCTGTCCCCAGCTTTCTCATTGGGTGGACGTGCCCTAGGCGGGGGGAGGCTTGAGGCCAACCGCTGTCGCTGTTCGGTTCCAGTGGCCCAAAAACAGGGGTAGTTCGTGAGCCATCGTCTTCAAGGGCAAGTCCGTGATACCTTTGACTCTGACCGGGACATAGGCACTGCAAGATCCTCTCCGCCGACTTCCTTGCGGAAGGGGGGACGGCCTACTACGAGCTGCAGGTGTCTTCGCTCCTCAGGACAGTGTGCTCACAGTACCAACTCGCTGGGCGGGGGAGAATACCATCTTAACGGTCGTGATATTGGGCATCGACCGCGACATAGTGACGATCGCGATGGGGGAGTGCAAGCTGTGTAGGCTTGCTTCAGGAGTGTGCACGGTGGGGATGCGGAAAATACACGACCGCACCGACCCAGCATGCAGACTATACGGGGTGACTTCAGCAGCCACAGCCTCACCGAAAGCCCGGAGTAGAAGCCCACCACGAGAACAACGGGGAGGCCCTTCCGTGAGCACTGCCCAGACGAGCCGGGGGGAAAGCAGCCCGACCTCAGCCAGACCACTAAGCGAGCTAACAGGCTTCCGCACCCGCAAAGGAGTGGTGCTCCTCTACGATCCCGATCCACTGGATGCCTGGATCGGCAAGGGGATCGACCAAACCAAGGAGGGGAAGTACGTGGACACAGAGACCGGCAAGGCCCTTTCCAAACAAGAGGGGAAGAGGTATGCGGCTTACCTTAAGTGCCATGAAAGCCGCAATGAAACGGCGCGGCAAGCTGACAAGTTGTTCCATATCGTCGACAAGTACCTCCCCTTACAGGCGGACGAGACTCGGGCCTTTGTGGCGCGTTTTCCTGACAGAGTTCACACTTTACTGCCAAAGGTGAGAAAAATTCGCAACAAGCTCCGACAAGACGGGGGAACACACCCAGCAGCGGGGGAGTCTACCTCGCAGGGGGACAGCTCTGGACATGGCCCCGGAGATGCCCTTCTACAGCAGACGGAGGAGGCCGACCACGCCGCGACAAAGCATGTGACAACAGAGACCTCGAGGGGGGACAGCTCCCAACCAAGTGCAGCACTTCAAGGCGAACTACCACAACCAGCGGAGAGAGCAGACCACAACGAAGCCCATCGTGCGAGAATGGTGTGCAGGGGGAGTCTACCTCCAGATGAAGACACCCCACCAGACTGGGGGGACGACGAGCAAACAGACGACGACCCAACCCACGACAGTTGGCCGTGGGGGGAATCTGGAAGACCCTCCGACCAAGGACGCAGTGAAGGCATTTTGGGGCAAAAGCCCAATGAGCCAGAGGGCGCACCACGAGATGGGGGGATACGGCTTCTCCCCAGCCGCATGTGGCAAGCGGTCCGCGAAGTGCAAAGCCACATGGAACGTTCCCGACAACACCGGGGGAACAGCGACGAAGGAGGCTTTTCCTCCTAACTGCAATGGGGGAGAAGACCCCTGATGCCAACTCCGAGCGTGGCTGCAAAAGTCCCTGGGGTACGCGCTGACTTCTGAGGGTGCCTAGGGGGATTTTCCACCTTTTCGGACAATCCGAGTGCATGCGAGTTCTTGGTGTGAAATCTTTAAACAAGCATGTCGTCGTGCTTTCTCAGGTAAACCTCACAACAACCGGCCCGACCTGGCCCATGAATCCTAGTGTCTTTTTAACACACCTGTACATCTGTTCCGACTTTGGAGGGGAATTCAAGAGGCAACCCGAGGCCCAAATTCGCTTCGATCCAACAGTGAAAGTACGTAGATCTCGCCACAAACGGCGGGGGGAGCACGCATTTGCCTGGGAACCTCTGAACACTCCCTCAAGCCAGCACTTTATTCGCATAGTTTGCTTTTTTCGCATAGTGTATGTCTCGTTTTTCATGCTTCTGCTTGGGGGAGAATTTCGTACACCCGAACACGGCAAGACAGAGTCCCTTTAGTCGGAGCCTTAGTTTGTTGCTGCTCTTACTCAGCCGTTGCCGAAAGCCGGGGGAATCTTGTGTACAGCCAAGCCCTATGCAGCATACCTGTATGGGGGTCCAATCCGCGCAATGAACCGCGGCTGCGCGTTCGCGTGCGGGGGGAGGGCCTGGACGCTGCCCGACCCTCATGGCTGGTAGAGAGAGAGAGAGAGAGAGAGAGAGAGAGAGAGAGAGAGAGGGAGGCAGCGAGGGAGACACTTGCACGAACTGCTGCACGTAAGCACGTGCTCCAAACTCGATGTAAAAAGTGCTGTCTCGTAGTACACAGGCTGGTGCCAAACATGGCCGTGGGAAGTTCGTTTGGTCCACGCTGTGCCGCTACGAAGGTGAGTTCGATGCGACCTCAGTGTAACGCAGTCAAGCTCGGCGTTTGTCTTTTCAACTGTGAAATGCTGGTAGGGCTAGTCGGGATGTTTGCAAAAGTGGTGCAGCTCAGGACAATAACGACATGCACGGAGAAGGCGTTTACACATGGAATGATGGCCGTGGTTATTCTGGCAACTCGGCCTATTTCTTGAGATTGTGTGGCTGTGTGTGTGTGTGACGAGTACTAAACTGGCCACTGTTCCGCTGCTTTCTGCCTCCATGCGGTCTTGCACATACCCTGCGTTGATAACACAGTCAGTTGAGGCCAGTGGAATCGCAACACTATGGCGCCCAGAGGGAAGATGTGGCTGCTAGACTACATGGCTGCACATCTAGTGTACAGGTAGACAAAGAATTGTTGGAAGAACCAAGTGCGGCTGGGCGACAACGGTGAGCTGAGGTGGTCAGATGGCCGCACATACGAGGCACGGACAATACGGTTCAACCCATTGTTTAGGCCTCTGCCCAGAGATGAGGAAAGAAAATGGATGCCGTGCATAAGCCTGCTACCAGCAACGATGATATCCGGGGTCAACTTGTAGTGGTGGGAGAGGGGGTTTGGACAGCCGATCAGAATTGGGTTGGAGTCGGCTAGTGACGTTTCCAAACCCAGACCAGCAGCGTCTCGCTCTGGCGTGCCCCTTGTACGGCTGGCTTTCTGCAAAGTTCCTTCACTGCATTGATTGCTTGCTTAGGCCTCGGACCAACAAGGAAACGCGGCGAGGACCTTAACTACAATACCAGCTCACCCTCAAGGTGCATAACTCCCGAGCAACATCTTGTAACAAACTATCTTCATGCGCAATGCATCCAAAATTAATTCAGTCGGTGACTTGTCCGACACCTGGAGATAACGATGGCGGCAGAGCGATCCACAAAAGACCGGCATTCTCCCCTGGACAGCCGCTATCGTTCGAAAGGTTCCCACTACCCTGGTGTTCGTGATCCTTCCCTCATGGCCAGGGCGAGTTCCTGGATGGCCGGAAGCACGGCGAGGGAACCTTGCGCCGTGGCAGCTACATAATTCCCTTCAACTAACTAGGGTTTCTGCAGTTATTTCCACAAGTCCTGCACATGACGGAGCTGCCCAGCCATCCATACGATTGAGAGTACAGGAACAGGCAGATCAGACAGCTGCTGGTAGCACCTTTGCCGACGGTCGGATTGAATTGAGGAAGTGGCCGGATGGCCGGTCCTACTGCGGACAGTGGCAGGCCAGGCAGAGCCGGCCAGTTAATTACTGTTTGGCTTGCTGCCTTCCTTTTAAGTCCATTACCACATGCTTGAGATGCCGCGTTTTTCGATAACTAGCAGCTCTCTTCTTTCTTGTGGGTTTCTGCAGGATGGCAAGCAACATGGCACTGCCATAGCGCGAACGGCCAAGGGCCTGCGACGCCAGAGCAATTGGAAGGACTGCAGATGGTGTGTGTGTGTGTGTATGTGTGTGTGTGTGTCTGTCTGTCTGTCTGCCTGCCTGCCTGCCTGCCTGTCTGTCTGCCTGTCTGCCTGCCTGCCTGTCTGTCTGTCTCTGTATGTCTCTGTGTGTCTCTCTCTGTCTGTGTGTGTGTGTGTGTCTCTCTGTGAGTCTCTCTGTGCATCTCTCGGTGCGTTTCTCTGTGCGTCTCTCTGTGCGTCTCTCTGTGTGTCTCCTTGTGTGTCTCTCTGTGTTTGTCTGTGTGTTTGTGATGCGTGGGTTGGTCATGCAGGTCCGAGCATCCATGCGAAAAGCTTGGGCCCACCTGAGAAAGCTAACATCGTGGCGGCAGGTGCCACCGGAGCACGAAGCACCAACCCGATTCAAGAGCATCGCTAAAGGCTGACAACAAACCATGGTGATGATTCACAGAATTTAGGTGGGGACTCAGGAGCACCAGGGCACCACCCACAATATGTACGCATAGTTACTTCCAATGCCAATCTGCTCTGACCAAGCAATCGAGACGGGCATCAGAAAGAGGAGTTACTCCATCACTCACGGGGTGGGGGGGGAAGCACAGCCACGTATACCGCGACGGAGGCCTGACCCAAGCCTGAACCAGGGGCAGCGACAGATCCGCATGCTGGGCCAATTGACTCACGCCATTCGTTCCGAAATGAAGGGGCGTGCAGGCAACTTTAGGAGCGCTCCGAGTTTACACTGCTGGAGGAGACCTGCTTTCATGAGGATGGGCCTCGAACCGGGCTCGTGCACTCGCACACGGGGGAAGGACGCCCATTCCTGTATGGCCACAGACATAGAGAGGGGAAGCCGCTGACACTCCAAGAATGCAAAACGACACCTCTCAAAGGAAAGGCAGAGATCGGTCGTAAGAACAATTGCAAGAGGTCTTGCCTTTTGAATGGTCCTTCTGCTCGCACAGACAGCACATCCGAGAAAGGCCAAAAACATCGCTGGGCTCCACGAACTCGTTTTCGACGATTGAGCTCCCTGAACTGAGTCTGCTCGCAACCCCGAACCACCTAAATCTCGAGCTCTGTGGCTTTGAAGTTGCTCGGATGGTTCCCCAGCAATCTAGACTAGTAACTAGTAGTTTATCGGATCAGCATTGCACCCGGCAGCAGCATGTCTTTGCTCCATGGCGCAGGATGGCAAGTTCGTGTCCTGGGCTGCCGGGTTGCACACATAAGAGAACTTGCATGTGTGGGCGTGGCTCTGTCAAGTGTGCTGCAGGGCCTGTTTACGATGACTTGCACACAATTTTGACAAACTGGGGCGTTCAGCTGAAAGGATGTTGGTGTTTCCAAGACACAGAACACATCCAAAAGGTGGGTGGCATCATTGACGACGATGGGACGGAGACTGCACCAGACCAGGAGCACTCTGCCCCGCCTGAAGGTGAGGGTGTGTGAGATTGTACTTTGGCCTTGGCTCTCACGTTTCACTTCCGTTGTAGCAGTAGGTCCTGTGTGCTGGGCTTGACCCGTCAAGAGAGGGCTTGAACATATTTGTAATGCAAAGCGGGCTACTATCTAAGTCTGGCGTTGATGAACGACGGACCTGCGAAAGAGCTTAGTAGCTGGTATTTTTCTCTTCTCTGGATGTCGGTACCCTTTACAGTAAAGCCCAGCCAAGTTCAGGTTGATGTTTCCATAGCACATGTCGGGTAAAGACGATTGACAATAATGCGTACGGCTGAGCAAGGTAGATACTGTGGATAGACAGACAGATAGATAGCGGAAGAAAACTAGCCGAGAAGAATAGCTGGGGACATGAATGGGAGCAGATATGAGGACGTACATAGCCTACAGCTCATCCTTGCATGAGGGCACATAGCAGTTTGTTCCATGGCTACCTGTTGACGAGACTAAGAGGTCCAGCACATGGCAAGCTTTGGGTCCAACTGTCAAAGTGCAGCGGGGTGGAGCGTTGAAGGGTTGCTTCTGGCTGATTGGTTCAAGATTCTGGAATATTTAGTGGCTTGTTGAGTGATGACCAAGCACGTTGAGTCTCAGAAACTGGAAGAGGCCATGCACGCACGGAGGGCTTGACACTGATTCTTGGGAGCTCTTGAAACCTCAAAGACCCAAAATGTTTCACTAAGAAAGCTGACACCAGCTTGCGGCGATACCTGCGCGATGTCTGGTAGGCAAAAGGCGACGTTGGCTTGCAGCTGATGCTGCACCAATCTATCAGGATGGACGGAGAATTTGCCACAACTCGGCTCACGACGTTCCTGCAGAGCTGAGGGATGGTAGGCAAGTTATATAGCTCTGGCCAATCTGCGACAGCAGCTCACTCATGTTCACGTTGGGCTTGCTCCTGTCGCACTAAGAGCCAACTACCCCAAGGTGTCACAGCCACCCTTGTTTCTGAAAGGCGTGTGCGACCGGCCTGTTTAGTGCAAGTGTACCTCGACCATCTCTTGCTGAAGACACAGTGCAGGATTGGTGCAGACAGCAGCATGTTACCGCTGTAGCCATTGCGAGCCACAAAGATCGCCAGAGGCCATTCAGGAAGGCATGTCTCCGGGTGGAGTCGGCGTTTCACCTTGCTGCTTACCATCGGACACTTCCCAGTCCCCATGCTTTACTGTGCTTCGTGACTTGGCACACAGAGCCGAAAAACGCCGTCTGAAGTTACCACAACGTTGTCGGTAAGAGGGGCAAATTGAACGCTTGACGCTTTGGTTTGCAGTGTTTCTTGTCTGCCAGGCTCTATGAGCTTTCCAACAACGGGTCATCAAGAGTGCTTGGGAATCACCTGCTTGCATTGCTCGTCGGGACCTCGGACACTCCAAGCTCATGTCACGTTAGGCCGTTCGGACCAGTCCCACACCCACGCCGCCGCTGCTCGAAGCTATGCTGTCGCATTTGCTAGCAAGGGGTGCTAAGCTCAGTGCGAAAGGAGCCACTTCCGCGCCAGTTTCCACACCCATCACCAAACAGAAGAAACACTTCGTACTTCATTCGTTTGCTCGCAGACCTGGGCAGTTTTGTTCGCATTCGGCAGCTAGGCTACGCAGGAAACTTGCCGCTATGCCATGGTCTGGAGAAGCAAACCACACACCAACATGCGAATTGTTTCTGATATTCTCACACGGATGCAGCTGGCTTGTCAGAGATAGGCCTCAGATAAGGGAGTGTCCCCAGCATGGAGGATGCAGGACAGGATGATGAGGCCCACATGTCCGGCCTGTTCCTGTTGGCTTTTGCTCTTGAAGGTAGCGCACGGGATTGTGACGGGACGGCTGGTCGTGGTTTTTGCCTGTCAATCAATACGGGTTTCGTTCTGAATGCTTCGGGTGTTCCGTTCGTGTTACCAATCTTTTGTGAAGAAGGACTACCCTGTACACAGTAGGATATTTGAAGGATTGGCAGTGGGATTTTCTTTGAAGAGTTGTTTTTGTTCTGGGCTTGTGCCAGATTGAGGGTCCGTCCACACCTGCCTCTGAGCATTCAAACGGAACATAAAGAAAAAGCAATACGGCATCAATCTGGGGTTCACCTTCAGCCGTTTGTCACAATATACGGTATGTTCATAGATCCGCGCATAGACTTCCATGGGCAGTTTCTGTTTGCAAAGACACAGGCCTTCTTCCGTTTGCACTACCTCTTACCAACCACCAGAACGAAGACAATTAGCATCCTGACCAGCAGCAGCACGAAAAAGAGAGCGGACTGAAGGAGCTGCGCAAACCGCAAATCATTACCCCCCAATCAACAGCCCAAACCTGAAGCCGTACCTGCAGTAACCCCCTAACCAGGGGTTCAGGCCTGAGCGTCCCAGGGACGGAAGTTAATCCAATATGGCATTACCCCCCCCCCCCACCCTCCGCGATAGAAGAAACCCTTGAAACCTACAAAGTCGCTGTGGTCATAATCGTGCGTGTTAGCTTAAACCTGCTGACAAACGGTCTTCCGCATCGCATCTAGTGCAACACAAGATGTCGAAACACAGTGCCCCTGCAGGCGTTCGAAACCCCAGAAGAGCGCATGGCATGGTTGCGCGCCAGGGGGGTGCGCATCGAGGATCCCTGTTGTAGCTTGAGGTGCCGAGAGATCGATGGCCTAGCTGTTAGAAATTGGTCGGGATTCGTCAGGAGCCGGGCCAATCAAGTGGGCCTGCACCCAGTGGCCAAGGTTGGGAAGCATGTTGTCGCCGCTTGGGCAGATCTGTCGCTTCCCTCAGCCAGCCTCCGGTTGGTTGAACGCCTCCCCTTGGCAGGCCGCAGCTTCGCTTTCGTTCGCATCCCCGTTGAGGATGCGCAGACTTGTGAGGCATCGCTGCCGAGATAAGAAGCAGGGAGCGCTCATGTAGTCAAGAACTCGGGCATTTGAAGCCACTTTGGTTTCGGTACCGGGTCGCGCTTGGCGGGCGGCTGCGTTGTGAGTCACGATTAGGATCGGCTCTGGCCCGAATTGAATCACTTGAAACTTGAAGAGGGAATCAGCTGCCACGCGTTTTACTGCTGCTGCTGCTGTGTACCACAGCCACAATCCACCTCACACTATGCCGCCGCCAGAATCTAGTGGGACGCATGCACGGAATACTTGAGTACAGCCTTTGACCTGTTTCGTTTCGCGACCTGAGTCGGCTGTTCCTCAGGGTTCCGAAACGAGATGCAACGAGTAAGCCGATTACTCCGCCGGAAAGACTCAGCACCGTTTTTGCAGGAGTGTTTGTCATAGTGCATCGTCTTTAGGCACTTAGACTTAGAACGTCAAGATATTCAAGATACTTGCAGACATTCTGGAGTAGGGCCATTGTGCTCCTGCACCAAGAAGCGTCAGACGGTCCGTCGTTAAGTGCCCATCTAGGCAGACGAATTCCCTGTTGGCACAGCTTGAATCACACTTTGCTGCACGCTAAGTTGTTGGGTCTGAAGTCGTTACGAGGTTGGGTTGCATGGAAAAATACTCGAGTGCTCACACCCGCAGAGAACGACACGGAGTCAGGAAAATGCCAGTAAATCGCAGTTGTCGACAGCAGTTGCTCCTGCATCAAACCACCCCGCCAACTTCCATGAGGAGCTCGATGGTCCCCACTGCAAGGGTGACGCACTTCCAACATTGCCACCTGGCTCCACGCGGGGCAGCTGACGGGCCAGCAGGAGCTGACGGGCAATCAAGGTAAAGTCATGAAGTGCATGTTGCCTCAGGCAGATCGGATGTGTCATTCATGTTCAGTCGGCTTGGTCCCAGCACTCACGTACACCTTCCCCCGCAAAAAGCTAGTAGTCGAAGGTTAGGGCCGCGCTTTGCTGGCTGCAGCCTGTCCGACGAGGCCACGAATGGCAGCGATATTCATCTTGTTTCAAGCCTTCATACAGCGGGGCTGTGCTTTCGTGACATAGGCAGCGCTTCGATGCTCCTGACATGCATCCCGATAGGTGACCGCAATGCTTCGGCTCAACAGCGACGGTCATGCTCTGTCCTTGTTTAGCGCCACATCGCGATGATGAGAAGCCCACTGGTATTGTCGACGTTGCCCCAGATGCTGTAGTGCAGGCCCGGCATTTGTGTCGAGATTCCGGCGGGTCAGCGTGCGATAGAACATAGTGGAACCAGGCAATACCAGTTGAGGTCGAGCCCAGGAGTGAAGAAAGCTTAACACTCAAGCATCTCAGAGAATGAGTTCGATTCTCCGCCTGACAGGCCTTGGCATCAGACCAGCCTGTTGCAACCTTGGTGCAGTGAAGGGCAGGGGCGTGGTTGATTCGGCATCACCCATACTTGCTCACAATGGCGAAAACTGCTTTGCGAACTCAAGCAATGTCCCATAGATGAGATGAGGTATTGCCTGACGAAGCGGTGTTGCTTGGCGTGGCCAGAAGAGCGCCTCGGATGGCTTGTGGTTCGTGATCGTCGTGACTCGTTTTCAGATTTGCACTTTGCTTGGCTACAGCCCGCATCCCTGGAAACTTCGATGATGACTTGGCCGAGTAATTTGCTTGCTCTGCCAGCGCAGCCTGCAAGGTCGCATCTCAACCTGCAGCCATAATAGACGTGGCACTCCCGCTGAACTCGTCAGAACCGCTGCTCGTGCAGAATTGGGTGCACAGATATCCAAGTTGCTTCGAGCACGGGGGCCTGGAAGCTACAAAAACCCGGGGCACGTGCCCGATATACAAAATAGCTCTTCAGGGCATTTCAGGGCTAAACAGTGCTACGAGTCGAGCTTCAGGGTCCAACTCCGGATCTTCTAGCTTCGCGACAAGCCGGGGCCAAGGTTGATGATGGGAATCTCGTTCGAGAGTCCGGATGGCCAAGCCCTCCTCATCAGCGATGTTTCCGATGGAACCACCAACAGGAACCTGGGGTGCAGTATTCACAACTTATGAGCCTGGATTAGGTGCTGACTAGTGCCGTAGCTCTAGTTGCTGTCACGGCATGCGTCAAGTCGGATGCAAGAGCCCGAATCCCTGCGTCCAGGAAAGACTCTCAAAGTGTTCTCAAGCAGCATGATCGTGTCCTCAGCGTCGAGGGCCACCATGGAGATGCCGAAGCCCTTCAAAGCGACTTGGTTGTTTTGATCTTGACCCGTGAGCTGCCGACACATCCGACACTTCGCCGTGACTGCACAACAAAGCCCTTGAGATGCGAGATGCTGCTGGCCGAGGTCTAATTGCTCAGCGTGTGGCAGCGAAAGGGGCTGCGACACTCAAAATGAAGGCTTGAGCAGTTGACATTGGATGGTGAGAGATTGTGCGGGTGGGGTGTGGGTGGGTCGGCAGGGTGGGCGGGGCGGGCGCAGGCGAACACGGGCGGGCGCGGGCGAACGCGGGCGGACGGACGTACATACGTGCATGCATTCGTGCGTGAGTGTGTTTGTGTTTGTCTGTCTGTCTGTCTGTCTCTCTGTCTCTCTGTCTCTCTGTCTCTCTGTCTGTCTGTGTCTCTGTGTGTGTGTGTGTGCGCGTGTGTGGGCGCGTGTGTGTGCGCGCGTGTGTGTGTGTGTGTCTCTGTACCTCTGTGTCTCTCTGACTCTCTGTCTCTGTGTCTCTCTTTCTCTCTGTGTCTGTGTCTGTGTCTGTGTGTGTGTGTGCCTGTCTGTGTGTGTGTGTGTCGGTTTGTCTGTGTGTCTGTCTGTGTGTTTGTCTGTGTGTCCGGTCTGTCGGTCTGTCGGCCGGTCTGTCTGTCTGTCTCTGTGTGTCTCTCTGTCTCTGTTTGTTGTTTGTCTGTCTGTCTTTCGGTCTCTCTGTCTGTCTGTCTTCTGTCTGTCTGTCTGTCTGTCTCTCTGTCTGTCTGTCTCTCTGTCTCTCTGTTTGTCTGTCTGTCTGTCTCTGTCTCTCTCTGTCTCTCTTTGTCTGGTGTGTGTGTGTGTGCGCGCACGTGTGCTTGTTTTTTTTGGAAGGGGGGAGGAGGGGGGGCTTGCCTGTTTGTTTGCTTGCTGGTGTTCTTGTGTTCGCGGTTGTTGGCGCGCTTGTGCGGGGTATGCCGGCTGTGGAGTTGAGGTGGTGAGACCCCGAAAGCTCCTGGTGTATATCTCCGACACTGGCAAGCTAGGCATGGAATTGAAGTACAAGGACCTTCCAGTTCGGCATGTTGTTGTGACGGCCGGTTTCGGCTGGTGCTTTTCAACATGCAAGGTGCTGTCATGCCTGGCAGCAATGCAGCTAATGCTCTTACATGAAACACTCAGCTAAAGCTTACCAGATGCTTCCATTCAGGATTTTTGCACGGGGGCAATCATATCGGAGATCGAAGATGATGGCATTGTTGCGACGCACGAATGCAGCAATCTTGCAAGGTTTTCGGGGAATACAAGAGAGCAAAACATATTGACACGAGGACGTTGGACTCGGCAGGCCTGAAGCAGCAGCATGCATCCACTCCTGTTCGAGTTGAGTGGTTGGCACGGTTGCCAAGGAAATGGAACAGCCATCACCCGGAGGCAACTTCACAAGCATTTCTCAGGGTTCTAGGCTCTAGGGATGCTCCTCCACTCTGGTCCATGCGGCACGCACGGAGCTATGGTGTTGAGATTCCTGCCCTCCTGCTCCGAAAACAGCCTGTGGCTGCGCGAATAGCTTTTCCCACTACTAAAGGTCAGCGTCGCTGCGGGCGATTACATCGTCTCTGTGAATGATATATCGCTGCCTGGTTGAGAATCAAGCCATGTCCCGCAATACTCTCAACATAACATCTTGAGACGCCGGAGCCCAATGCAAGGTGCAATTCAGGTGCTAGGAGCGGGGAGGCCTTGGTTCATGGTACAGCCAACACTTGTCGCGATGTCTTTCGGATTAGGTGTAAGTCTAAAATGTTACAGTCTAGTGGCAGCAATTTTCGCAGCTTTTCGTGCAACGAACGACTTCGTAGCTGCTGCCTCCTATTGCGGAGCCCTGCACGAGGTTGCCAGGTCCAGAGCTTCTCAAGGCTTTGGCTACGAAAGCGACTCTTCAAGCACAGCTGCCACTACCTTCACTGCTTTCAGCAGAGTTTGCAAAAATGACTTGACCGTATAGGCACGGCAAGGATCCGGTGGGAGTTTCGGGGGGCCATGCGTAAGCGAGTAAAAGGAGTTTCAAGCCGGTGGTTCCAAATATGCAACCTGCGTGGTGGGCGGCAAGTCTAATGTTTCAGCCGAGGTCAACATCAAGATGACGGTGCTGCATTATTCCAGTTGTGTGTAGTACCAGTGTGCTCAGTGCGGCGCGACTGGTCTTTAGTGACCAGTCTCGCTGGCTAATTAACTCTTCCCATCTCCTGATGTGCAGCAGGAAGTCATCGGGGGAAACGTTATGTCCTCCTCCAAGCGTTGGAGGCTAGATAGCCCTTTGTCCAGATTCTGGACTCCGCGTATGCCAGTTTCACTCCGCATGCAAATCGGATTGCGAATCTTCGAAAAAGGGTATGTGCAGTACTACATAGGTTGCTTACTTGTTTCGGAGACTCGCCATTCTGCCCCGACAATGGTTGGCAACATATCTGAGCTGTCGGCTGGAAAACGGTCTGCCGTTCCGTAGTCAGGAAACTTTCATGTGGTTGCGGGGTTCAATTGAAACCACTTGGGCAGGACAGCTTGGCAATACTTGCTTTCCATCTTCGCGCAACATCTAGGTGGATGATGGAAGTCATCATCATTCGCTCTGCTTTTACGGCTAAAGAGCGTATAGCCACTACCGCCCACACATGCCCACATGAAGCTCTGGAGGAACTGCGTGCTTATGCTGCCGCACAAGGACAAGCTGGAGTGGACCTGGCCGTGTTGCGATGCTCGGCTTGGCAAAATGGAAGACGTTGTTGAATAAATCATGAGAGCCGTGAGATGCTGGATTGCCATATGTAGCAGAAGATTTCGAAAGAAGCTGATAGAAGCTGTAAGCGCAGGTATTTTCTGGAAGGGGCTTCAAATTCCTTTCACCACTAGTGACCCAAACCAGTGGCACGAACAATAACACAACAGGTGCGAGCGACAGTCAGTGCACAGTTAAAGCTTTCGCAGATTCTAGGCTACTCTTCCTGAAGGGTTCGGCGAGTGAATGAACCCCTGATGCAGACATCAGAGGCCGCCTCAGCTGGCGACTGCCAAGAATTTTACGGCATTAGGACTGCCCGCACATTCGCACTAGCAAACTGTACAGCGCTCACACATGAACAAAGTTCTTGCATGCTTAGGAAAGCTGGTGATGCGGGGACAGGCAGAGTCCTTCAGCCTGGCCGTGCCTACAGAGCCTGGGCAGCAGGATGGCAAAATGTCCCCCCGCACGCATGGCAAGAGAGGCGATTGAAAGTTTCGATGCTTGTCTCAGGCCGCGAACGGCAGAGAAGCAGTCTACGCCTATCTCGATGAGGCCTCAGAGCACAGGCCTAAGGCCCAAATGGATTTCAAGCCTTTCAGCTTGGGCTTTTGGGAGATGCTCGGAGAAACACTCGGATAGCTGAGGCTGAAAGGCCTGGCCGTGAATGAGAGCCTTTGCTGCACAACTTTGGGTGTCGGCGGCAGGCCTTGGGCAAGGGAAGGTCGTGCCGAATCTTGACAAGCCTCTTCTGCCTCGGATGCAGGTCATGCTTTAGTGGAGACAGTTTACAAGGACGAATTTAGTATTTCGGAATGGGTGCTCACATGCGTGCAGGGGAGCATTTTGAGTGCATGCGCATGCGGTGTGTGGGTGTGGGGCTGTTTGTAGCTGGGGGTGTGTGGCGACTTACTGTACAAGTTTGCTTGCGCAGAATCCGAGGAGGGCGAGTGCTGTCGCCCGGTCCTGTGGCTTCCCATCGAGCTGCCGACTGCGAGGCAAGGACGGTGGGTTTGGCGTGACCGCCTCACACATTTCGCATCATCTTGCTGTTTTGGACGGACAGGATCCACAGGGTCGCGAGCGGCGTTTGAAACTTTGTCAACCGCTCAACCTCGCTTTAAGCTGTTAGGCATGGCATGCGGCAGGCCAAGAAATTGCAGTGCTTGCAGGCGATGTGTACATCGGACGCTTGAAATGGAGCGATGCGGCTTTCCAAGCATTAGGTGCATAGCCAGGTCCAACCCTGTCAATTGCACCCGCTCATGCCGAGGGCGGGCTGGTAGAGAATGTGGACTTCCGAATCGGGGAGTTGCAACCCGGGGCACCGTGGATGCAGCGAGCTGTGCGGAGCTCAGCGTGGTCAGTGAGTGGACAGGTTTTGCCATGTCCCCCAATCCTGCAGCTGCTACCTACCCACTTTGCTGAACTCGAAACGATGGTTACGAAATAGCTGAAACTAGTGTCCGCTACTTGTTGCTGCTCTGGTGTAAAGTCAGGCGCCTCACCTGGGTTGACTGCTGCATTCCACAGAGCTATCTAAGCACCATCTAGGCTTCTACAATTCTAAGGCTTGGCGTTGAAGTGCTCAGGTGACAGAGAATTTGGAACAGCAGAAGGCAACACAGCCAGAGCAGCATGCAGCCGCCCAAGGCAGCTTGGATGCTTTGGTTTTCCCGCGTCGGAACGAACCATGGTTGGGGCATGGAGGCATGCCTGGCATGTCGGGGATCCTGTGTTGGACAGAGCTTCTGGCTCCAAACAATCCCGAACCCTGACCAAGAGCCTGATATCTACAAGCTAAGGCAGAAAAGCCCCATACTGGCCATCTTGTCCAGCCTCGCTCACACATTGCTCAGGCGGAGATCCTGATCAGAGAGCTGAGGGTGTTGGGGATGGGTCGCTTGGCTTCGAACAGAATGTGAGATGCCATCGCTTCAGCCGGCCAGGCCGACATGCTGCCAAGGTGACATTCTGGCTGAGTCAGAGTTGAATAGCAGCAAACACGCTTGAGTTTGCAGTGCCAACCTAGGTACACGTGGAAGGACGACGATGAGGAGCTGGAAATTCTTCTGGATGTGCCAGAATCGACCAAGAGGAAAGATGTCACTGTTCGGCAAGAGTGGGAACGTCGTACGTTTTCGTTAGAATCAGGAAGCCTTGTGGGAGCGACGACTTGTACGGCAGTATTCAGCGATTTGGCAGACGGTTGAGATGTCAAGATCGCTGACTGACCTAATATCGTGGAACTTAGTTGCTGTGTGTTAGACGGCCAGTGTTGCCACAGTAGTGAGAGAAGGCTGATAGCAACCAAGTTGATGGGTGGGATTTCTTGAGGTAAAGATCGAGTTCCGACGTCAAGAGGTCCGCCGGGTAGAAGATGCTCTCATGTCAGCTTGCTTGACTCGACGGGCTGCCGCTTGTCTTGAAACCATGATGACGCCATCCTGAAGCGTGCCGAGACTTAGTCAATTGCGCCGCAGGTGCGAGTTTCCAAGCCGAACACCCTGACGCTGAAATTGTTCAAGAATGTCGACTCTCAACTGTCAATAAAAGGCAGGGGTCCAGCGTGTAAAGCGGATGTCAGAGCATTCCAGTAGCTCGATGGCTGGCTGGAGCGAGCCAGGTTTTATTTGAGTCGGTTCGTCCTGCAGCCAAGGAGGTCGATGGCTGCTCTTGGACCATTGGCAAGCCTGGGCAGCTTGTGGCTTGCTCATGCTTCCTCAACATCAACAGCCAAGTAGTCAGAAGCAGACCCCGGGTTCTTCGAGCCAGGTGTTGACCTTGCTGAAGGCCGATGCAGCCCCATGGCCACAGCTGCTCAAGGAGTCCTGGTGAACACCTGTGCACACGTTTCCGGCTCCGCACGATCCGCACGTTTCGAGGAGCTCGAGGGCCTCTACTTGTGAGACGAAGGCCACATGGGACTGAGCAGCAAAGAAGATGCGTTGGATCATGTTGGGCTTTGGGTGTGCGGAGGCACGCGGAGACCAGAGAGCATCTGCTTGTGTCTCAAGAGCTTCTGACGTTCCGCTGCAGACTGGATCCGGAACCGTGCACGGCTATAGGCTAAGAGCGCCGCAAGCGAAAAGCGGACGGTGGGTCTGCCAGAAGTGTGCAATGCCGACCGATTCTCGTGAGAAAGTTCACCTTGTTCGTTTGCAGAGCTGCGATTCTGGGTGAATTCCTGCGCTGAGCATCAGATTTCATCAGATGTCCCGTCGGTGTGACTTGTGCCGCCAGCAAGAAGTACATACCGAAAAGGGTAAGCAAACCTCCCTTGCTGCTGCACAAGAATAGCGGTGTAACCCATGCACAGCCCACAGATGCCGAGGCAAAGTCCTTGGCTTGCATGACATGACTTCCATGGCAGCGTTGCAACCTGTACCGGCAAGGGCCTGCGCCTGCATCTCCAGGGCGTTCCAACCGCCCTGTTCCGTGCAAAGAAACCCAGGCCGTGGTTCACGGTCTCATAAGGCCCCGGCCCGTGCCTCATTGGCTTTCCTGGGAGCCTCGTGCCCGGACGGCACTGTTCTATCAATGCACCCCGTGACGAATGAACATTTGCTAGCGACTTCGACCAATTGCAGCTTCCAAATGCCTTTACGGCCTCCGAGGTGCGGAAATTGGTGTCATCGGCCGGTGACTCGTCGCGGTTGCGATGAAGGCCGTAAAAGCTCCGAGTCGGACGTGGACCTTCAAGTCTCCGACTCTCCAGGGAAGGAGCCAAAGCCAAAATTTGCGCCGCAGCACGACACAAGACTTGAGACAGCTCATGACAGCTCCAAAGAGCCGTCGCATGCTGACGAGTGTTTCAGAAAGGAGATGCGGCGGTTCTGGCGCCGCCGCCAGCGGCTAGAAACAAGCGCAGGGGCCCTAATTTTCAATACGGAACGGTGGTGGCTGAGCGAGTTATAGAGCAGAGACCGATGTGCTAGAGCCGGTGGCCAAACACTACAGCAATGACAAGCCCAGACTATTCATGCACACAAAGCTGCTGGCATGGGTAAGCCCCGGATTTACGATACAACACTACATGACTACATGAATGAAAAACAGGACCAGTCACCGAAAAGAGTTGGGATCGGACTTTGTGTCAGCTGTCGTAGTAGACAGTAAAGGGCCCCGATGCCTTGAGAACGGCAATGCTGACTGCAACTCATTCCAAAATTGGGCGTGTGCATCATGTTCTGATCTTAGTGAGAGTAGTGGCGGCTTGTGGGTTTGTGTCGATGGTTCTTGCGAAGACGGTATGGTGTCGCCAAGTTTGTCCTCATTCAGAGTTTGTCCTCGCGTCTCGGGTTTTGAAAGACCTTTGGCCAGCGCTATGCCATATGACATATGGCGTAATGCTTGTCGCATCTCACTACATCGTTCTCGCAGAAAAGTTGGACGAGATCTTCGCACGCAGCACTCGTGGCCTGGCCCGAAGCCAGGACAGGAAGTATCGTGGACTCACAGGTCCAAGGTCACTAAGCTACTGTCTTCCATGACAAGTCCCTAGATTGTGGGCCGTGCACGAGAACTCGTGACGAGGATGGGAACCCGGCAGAGCCAACGGCTCGCTGTCCACCCCTCACAGCTCCGGACCCAGATGACTACCCTTCGGACCTGTCTGAGAAGGCTCAGGGTGTTTGACATTCCGGTTGTGCCTGGATTCTGGGGTGAAGTAAGAGGATAGAGGGCACCCATTGCCAGCGTGCCCTCGTCGCAGGTGGATGCTGTGCAGCGGCTGCTCGGGCAGCGTCTGGACGAAGATGCTGTGGACCGAGGCCAGGCTCGCGTGTGGATGGGCTGCGATGCTGCGATGGGCTGCGGCTAACCCGCTTGAGGCTTGGAGGTGATGGCATCTCCGGAACCCCTCCACTACCGGCACCGGGTGAAGTTCGATTTGCAGCACGACGGTGACACGGTGCGCCCCCTGAACACCCGAGTTCACCCGTGACTTCTGCTTACAGACGATCTGCTGTGTGCAAGCATGGTGCATCCTAGACATCTCGAAACATGCCCGCATCTCCACTGCAACTCGGTCATGCGCCGCAGCTCTACCTGGAATGGGTACTGCGCAGCATCCTGCGAGGACCTGGCAGAACAACCGGAAATAGCCGCCACGAAACCGAACAAAACAATACAATCCTGGTGCACAATGTGAATTCCTCAAGTTATTTTCACGTTGTGCCTGCGTCCGTTTTGCAAGCGGTCTCGGGAATCACATTTTCTGCATGTCTTTGTTGCTCTTTCTCTATATGTGAAAACCCACCAATACTAGCCAGTCCGCTCGACTCAGTGCCAGGTATCCCACTAAGCTTGTGGTTGGTGCGGACCGAAAGGCTCAGGACCAAAGCTGCGCGTTGCAGACCTGAGCCAGGTACGCTACGTCGTCTTTGACCCTGACAGTACAGAATGGCTGGCTGCCGCTTGCCCTCGATTTGCAGACACTGGTTCCATCCTGGTCTGAAACCGATCCATGTTCAGAGTCGGGCAGGCATGAGCCTCTGCAAGAGGGTGGGCTCAAAGGTCGATTCCTATCCGTTGGCTTCCCGACGCATCAACCGCCTCATGTCAGATCTGCTCGACCTACTGGCACACGAGGCCAAGTTGCTGGGTTGCACTGGATCTGTGGGTCGGGACTATTGCGGTCGGAGTGGGCGTCGTCGGAATGTCCGCGTCGCATGTTGCGTGCCATAGTAGTGAGAAAAGAAATCACCTAAACTTGGAGGGCCTAGGTGGCAGCTGCAGGAACAGCACTCCACAGTGCGGTGGCTTAGAAGAGAGGAAGGAAGCGAACCTTCAACGCGCATTGCTGGACTGAGGCTCCGGGAGAAAGCTTTCCAGGTCGAGCTCATCTCTACAACAAGAGACGAAGCGCTCGCCTGCATCCTGTATCACAGGTCCCATGCGCAGTCTCCTCATGATTACCCTGCTTGGCTTTCGATATCCAGGAGACTCTCTCTGGAGGATGACAAGCTGCAAGCCCAACAGGCGGCAGCCGCTCTGGATGCGGTGGTGGTGCTTCGGGCAACATGGCAGCAGTGGCACAGCGAGAAGGAGCTGCGTTTCGACTCGAATCATCAAGATATGGCATGCGCGTTCATGGCCGTCTTCTCTTTTACCACATCAAAGGCGAAGGGTCAGCGCTTGGCTTGGCCGGCACGCCGCAGCTTTCTTGTGCAGGCTGTGCATGCTTTCGAGTTGCATTCTCGGAGCATGCACATAGGTCTACTGCGCAAAAACCCGGAGCACAGGAGAACGAGATTGAGGGCAAAGCCTACCCTCAATGGCGAGGCACTTAAGACTTAATGATACATGCAATGATACATGCTGTTTGGAAAACTGCATCAGCGTTGTGAGGGTGGAGATTGCTCGTGCCTGCAGTATTGGCCTCGAAGACAAGGCTCATGGAGAACAGCTTCTTCCAAGCAAATCTCCACCTGAATCGGGAGATGCAGTCCTGGGTCGCTGCTCAGACACAAATCGAAGGAGAAGCCCGCGACCTCCTGGAAATGCATCGCAGCAGATAAGGGGATGGCCTGGGATGGACACTGAATGCTGTCACAGTCACGCACAGCAAGAAGACCAGGTACTGCGGAAACGGCAACTTCACACTGCCTGTTGCCGGCAACTTCCGCCGTGTGCTCGCCAATGAGATAGACGAGCCAGCAGTGAGAGGGGCAGAAATATGCGCGAAGAAGGCGGAGTCTTGATTCAGTCAGGAAGACGCAAGTCTCGTTGCGCAGATTAAACCCTAGTACCTGCTAGTAAGAATCCCGAAGACGAAGTTTCTCCCAAAGAGGAAGTAGCTATTACTCCGGACTGTGCCCTTCAGCTTGTGAGCTAAGCGAGTTATCTTCCGGGCGATGTAGATCTCAGGATGTGCACAACATACAATTTCGCAGATGCCGAGCGGAGAGCTTGGTTCTGGCCACTCGGCCATGAGGAAGAAGCACTCACAGTTTGGTTTCCTGTCTGGGGCTTGTTTGGATGGTCGTTAAAGAGGAGAGCCAAATCCGACCTGTTGGCCCTTATGACTTCTCCACCCTGCTTGTGGACCCTCCGCGTTTCTCGGCCTTCAGGAGAGCAGACTCTTTTGAAAAAGATTTGGGGAATGCTAGTGATGCTAGTGATTATTTACCAAGGGTCCGAAGACACCGTCTCGTCACCAGTGAGGCTCCGGGCTAGATGACCGTTCCCGGGCGATGGTGGAAAGCTTCGAAAACTTGATCTACGTCTCCTGCAATCCAAGGCTGTGAAATATGCTTTTCGTTGTGCATTTTGACGGCCTGCCACGCGGTCTCAGGTCTTTGGCACGCGATCTTGAAGCCCTGCAAAGTCACAGGACCTTGTGCGGTGCATCTAGTGGTAGTCAGACCTGCTTCTGGGGAGACCGATGGTGGGTTGGACCCAGCTCCTGAGAGTTTGGGAAGATCCATAACAGCCAGCGAACGAGGCGAAGCCTGCGATGCCGCTGCCCTGCTGCCAATTTGGGCAAAGCTAAGTTGCATTCGGCAGTGATGCCAGATGTCTCATGGCTTGGCGTCGCCGACATTACCCAACCTCAACACGACAACAGAAACCTTCGAGAGATTTCAGACCCATCATAGCCAGCCCCGAGAATCGGACGGGGCTGTCAGAGCAGTTCGAGGTGCAAGGTTCCAAACTTCCCTGATCGGCTGAACCTTCGCACGAAAAATGCCACGCTCTCATGGCTGGCAGAACAGGCTCATACCTCAAGTCTAGGACGCGCGGAAGTGTCCGACGAGCACAGAAACACCACGGGAAAATTTGCGCAGGATCCAAGCAGCTTGCCTCTTCGACCAGTTCCCTTGGACGGACCACTCTGAGGTGGCGTTACGCCTCATCCGTCGTCAAAAGAGGGCAGCCAGCACGCCATTCTGCACTACACTGATGCAGCATTGGTCGCAGTTGAGGTCAGAGTTGTCTCAATAAGTTCTGCAAGCTGCGCTTCTGCGAACTGAGAGTCTGTGCCATGGGCTGCCGAGGATCTCAAGCAAGATGCTGTGAGACCCCATGCGCGATCCATTCTCAGAACTGTGCAGCCGTCGGATTGCCAGTTAAAACTTAGGACATCTTAGGGTCTTAGGACAAGTCCTCCCTCAGTTGAGGAAGCAACACAATCACAGCCACGATCAGGTCTAGACGTGGCAGATCTCTTGACACAAGCGTGTGGAGCTTGGCGCTGCTTCTTCTGGTCCACGGCGCAGTGGCAAACCACCAAGCTGAAATATGCAAGACCATTAGCTGTGCCCCAGTTTTGCCGCAACTCTGCGCATCTCTCTGTCTCAGTTTTGCAAAGTCTCGCGAGGCTTGGCGTGAGCATGCCGCGAAGGTCTGACTTCATGGCCGGTGGCAGCCAGGCTCCGAGGATCGCCATGGTTTGAACGGTAGCTGGCAGCCTGCCTTGATCTCAGCTGAGGCTCCGCAAGCCGATCTTACTTACTCCTTGTCCACCGTGCAGCGAAGCACGTCCTGGAGGCGCTCGGGCCCGGGCCGACCCTCGGAATCAGCTCAGCCGGCTCAGCTGCCTGCAGGAGTGCGAGCCTTATGTGGCCGGGGCCCTCAATCCGAGACCAAGAGCAGACGCATGCGGCCGCATCTGGAGAGGAGAGAATTCCGCGGAGAAGCTGAGGCCTTGAAAAACTGGCTGCAAAGGGTCGAGGCTGGGGCTGTGCCAGAACTGTGACACATCCTCGATGATTAACCTTTGCAGCTCCAATGCGACACAAAGAACGAGATTGCTGAGATGGGATGTTGGGAGGTGCCGATACCAGCTGTCCGCGAAATGCTGGAACCTCGGTACGGTGTGGTTCTGCGGTTCGTGTGTGCCCGCAGAGAGAGACCCGAGACTAGGCCCTTGCCCACCGCTGAGCGTGCCATTTCCACAGCCCTGAAGTCCATCGAGGCGATGGCGATGCCTTTTGCTCTTTGTTCGGGAATGAGGTTGCACGTCTGTTGTTTTCGCTGACCGACCCGCATGAAGAACACGCTTAGCATGCTCCGGGAGGATGTACGAAGCATAGCAAAGCAGCATGGTGCGTTGATTCAGCCGACTCGGTGCCTCCTGTGCACAACCCAAAGGTAACTAGCCACTGACAAGCTGGTGACTATGGGGCCTAGGGGCTACACTGATCCGGCCACCCAGCGCAAGGTTGATAGGGAAGATTTTGAAGGCTTTTGCTCCCTCCAATCGGCAGTAGATGCTATTCTGGTTTGACGCAAACCCACCCAGAAAATTCCAGACTGTCACAGAATCCGCCGGAAGGCTTAGAGTACAGAACTCGACCACCATTCTGTTTTGCATGCTGCTAGCGATTCATGTTGAGAGGGTAGGTGAAGCCAGGCTTTTGGAGTGCGTGGCTTGGCCCGCTTACGCGCATCGCTGCACTCTGTGTGGCCGTCGCTAGAGGTTGCACCTGGCTCCAGACGTTCAATTGCGTGATCGTTTTTTGTTTCAGCCTTTCCTCCAGTTTGTCCAAATGGCTCCCGCCACTCCGGTGTCAGGCCTTTTTGCAGATGTGCAGGTGGCTTACATGCCCTTCGAGCGCAACTGGCAGCACTTAGCCGTTGATCCGTTTTTCTTTTTTTTGGAGGTGGGAGCCAACAACCACGAGTTGGAGCGAGACTTCCTGGAGCCGATGCTGCAAGATCGATCTGGATTCGGGAATGCTGGTGGTTTTCTGATCAGTTTCGAGCCCCTTTTAGACAAGTACGGCTTCTTGCTTGCTTACGGCGCCCCCAGCATGCACTTCGCGAATCTGGGGCTTCAGCATCGGCGGGCCCTGGTGTTGCCTTATGCAGTGAGTACCTGCGACGGCCCAACAGCCACATTTCATGTGGCGCCGATTGATGGCTGTAGTAGCCTTCGAGCCCCGGCAATTGACTTCAAGCGAAAGAACATGGACGAAACGAGGCCGGTCAGGGCCATGTTCAGCAAAGAACAGGAGCAATTACATCTTGTGCTTCAGCTGTCCCTGTCTTCGATGTCCCACGGTCCTTTGGGAAAATTCAGTAACAGTAGGCGTTGCACGAAAGATCCGCGATGGACATGTCGAAATGTCGCATGTCTCACGACTTGCAGCAGTCGCTGGACCGAATCACCAAAAGTCTTTCAGCTTCAATCCCAAACTCCACAGACGAACATGCTGCACCAAAGACCCGCGAAGGAACGTCAAGTTCCGCAAAGGAGCCAAACTAAGATCAAATAATATTGGTCAACACACGCCTGTACTCACAATTTTGTTTTCTCTTCTGACGAGGTACACCAAGTCTTGGCCCAAATGGGTCGAGGAAAACTGCTCGGCTTTGGCTGAGCGCAGGGATGTGCCGTGCATTTCTTTGGCGGTTGTGCTCAGTGAGTGGCTAGCGGGCCGTCCCATTGCGCGAATGAAGATTGATGCCCAAGGCAGTGACCTGGATGTCGTCAAGTCGGCTGGGCCGTACTTGAAACAGCTTCTCTTTATTGTCATGGAGACACAAGGAACCTTCGAAGCACCGCTCTACGAAGGGCAGGCGAGCTGTGACCAGGTACAAGCTGAGATGAGGGCCTTGGGATTTATCCTCGCCGACACACGAAGTCTTCCAGCTTGCAACAGGACCGGTGCATTGCCGTACCCTTTCCACGAGGAGGACATTGCTTTTGTGCGCCGGGAGCTCCACCACTTGTGGAGAGACTTCTATCACGAACACCCCTACTGTCAACATGGGATCGTTTCTGCAGCTGGTGCCTGTGGTGGGCCTTATTGCATGGCACCAGAATTCAATATGCACGTGAACCGCTCCGGAGGCTGTGCTGACCAGATACAGGACATCTTGGCTTTTCCCTCCGACGCGATCGGAATGGTCCTGCTGTGGACAAGTGCAAATTGCATTCGCAACATCGAGGTCACTATGGATGGAATGGGTCCTCGTAATCTCCGGGTGCAGGTCCTACAAGGCCGGGCACGGGGCAAAAGACAGTGCCCCTCGAAGTTCGATGCCGTCCAGTCCCTCCATGGACCCATCGTACGTGTTCGATCTGGCTCTTCTGATCATCGCGTCCAAATGCTTTTGCTACCAGGCTTCTTGAACATCACTTCAGCAAAACTGGAAGAGGCATTGGAGTACTTCTTCTATGTTGTTGAAAACAGTGGCGCTTCAAACTTCCATCTTATCTGGCCACGCGCCTGTGTGGAGCTACGGGCGGATGCCCTTCCGCATCGCATATCTACTGGTTATCGACCGGTGAACCAGCCATCCGGCAGTACCTGTGCCATGGAAAAAAGACAAGGTCTGTTGAAATCCCTTAAAGGACCCGTCAGAAAAGTCCAAGAACTTCCTCTTATGTTACGAGAAGCCGTAAGATTCAAATTCAGCGCTGGGCTCGAGCGCCATGCAGTCACTTCAGAGTTGCTGCATCTGTCCAGGAGGCTGACAAGGCTGGTGCCGCTTGGCTGCGCGAACGCGGGCCTGTCTGGTGCCCGCCACAAGAGACCATGGGCCTGCTGCAATGTATTTTGCAAAGTCGGAGGATTGTGCTGCAGAGTGTCGAGTTTGGAAGAGCATTCGTTCCAGGTGCGAATTGAACGACTACTGTGAATGAAGTCAAACCTGAGCGTGAAGCTTGCGCCATGCAGGAGCAAAGTCACGCCACAGTTCAGAAAGTCGAACATGCTAGATTGCTGCAACTAGATAGCCATGTGACGCCAAAGTCGAAAGTAGCATCAGCCGTGAAAACTGCATGCCGCTTCACCGACACTGGTCACTATAGTCACCAGAGTGAAAGCCACAGCACGAAGCAAGCAATGGACGATGAGCGCCCTCCAGCAGAGCAAAGTGCAGGGTACGGTGAGCGGCTCAGACTCTACGAAGCGTGCTTTGAGAAAGTGGAGACACGTGCTATTTTAGATTCAGATTGGGCCGTACCGCATTGAAAACACATGAATGCAATGATACGAACGGACTCCAGCTGGCTTTGTCGGGCCAGCATTTACAGCATGTGGCTGCAGATTGCACAGACCTTTTGACAGTACTGTCCCAGGTCATAGCACCACCCTGAAAGCAGCCCCCGTGGGGGAGGAGGCAGACGACCTAGCTTCGGCAAGCTGTCGGCAGACTCTTCAGTAGGTCCTGCACCTGATGAAATGCAACCTAGCTGTGCAGGCGATTGTCAGTCATGCATGTGTTCGTGTTCGATGCTCCCAAAAGATGATGGCTACAGATGAATCGTGAAACGGTCGAAGCCCCTGTATATCACCATCACAGCCACGTGAGGCACTGGCGAGCACGAGCACTTGTGCCATCGTGCCCAGAATTTTGATCAGGAGCCCACAGTCGCCAAGAATCCCGTTCTCAAAGCTTTGCTGCAACTCGGGCGGCGAGCGTGTTACACGAGAGCGATTGGGATAGGCAAGATTGATTAGATTCGCGGATTTTAGTACGAGTCGCGACGTGCACAAATTGTGAACTGAGGCATGTGAAATGGGCCAACTTGCTGCAGAAGGCAGAAACGCGAACGCATTCTGTCCCAACGGCAGCGCTGCTTGACCATGCTCGTGCCATTACTTTTAGATAAGCGGCCTTGGAGATCCAGCGTCCCGAAACCACTTCGGCCAAACGAGCCAGAGAAATGCTCCATGCAGGCCGGCCAACATGAACGCCAGCTCCTGAGCTACTCGAGCAGAAGCGCATTGCTACGATTGAAGATGTGCACCTGCACAGGAAGAGCAGAGGAAGAGCCCCTGTATTATTATTATTATTGTTCTTCTTCTTGTTGTTGTTGTTGTTATTGTTGTTGTTGTTGTTGTCGTTGTTGTTGTTGTTATTCATTGCGATCATTCTAAACATTTAGATTGCAGGAGTGCTGCGGCGACATGCGATTGGGAGTTGTGTTGCTAGTGCACGAAAGCCTTACTTGACTCATTTGAGCAGAGGAAGTGGAACACCGAGAAATCAGTTTGTCCCGGCCGGGCCAGGTGCGGCAGAGCACTTTGCATCTTCGCTTGCGCAGCTTGGCGCACGGAGATGCAATAGCAGCAGACAAGAAAAAAAAATGCGATGTCCACCTTTGGGCTGTCTGGCTGGAGCATATTTGTGCTCCTCCCATAGGCGCATTCCGTCATGCACAGTTGTGTTCACTTTATGCAGATGGCATCTTCCAGGATGCAGGGGTCAGCACAACAATTCCGAGGATCGTTCCATCTGGTCAAGCATACTTTGGTCGCGGATTGGCTCTTGCGAAGCTGCGCCGTTGGCAGGAGGCATCTTGGCCAAACCGTGGAGAATGACACATCAACTTCAGCTGCATTTTGACATGTTTTGACTGATAGCCCAGCAAGGCGCGGAAAGCTCCAGCACGGAATTAACTAGCACCCCGGTCGCTTCCAGGCTGCCGCCGCGTTCGAGTCGGCAGTGCAACGGTGCCCGCGCATGGCCGGTGCGTGGACCAACCTGGCAGGCCGGAGCGTTAAAAGTGCAAGTTCCAGGAAACTGATCAGACAGCATGGCAAAACACGGACGCAAAGAACGTGTACTTCGTGATGGAATCGTATCGGTGTCCGAATACTTACCATCCGCAACAGACTTGTATGTCGAAGTTCAGCGGCGACACAACCGTGGAACAGGTGTCGAGCTGTCTCTGGGCTGCTGCGAGTCCGCCGAAGCCCACTGTCGCAAGGTGAGAGTATGTGAAGGGTCGCGCGAAAACGGAAGGCTTTGAGGTCTCTAGAAATTCTTCCTCGTCTCGTTGCGGTAGTACATGAAGGCCTTGGAGCTGGAGCCCGACAGCCGAGAGGCCACTTGCAAGTCCAGACAACTTCTCCCAACATGGAGACGCTGCTCGCTTTAATTTCGAACAGGCGGTGATGAACTTGGCAAACGCGCTGCGCAACTTGCATGCAGTTTCATCACTTTGCAAACATGAAACCGGCTGCTCCGTTGAGGCAACCTGGGACGTCGTAGAGAAGCGGTCGAGGCAGTGTGGGAGCGCATCTCGCACCACGAATCCCAGGAGGGCGAGAAAAAGGTGGCCGGGCGGCAGCAAGCTGTAACCTGCACGTGTATCATTGCAGTCATCCTGACAGCCACTCTGGCTGGAGAAAAAATCTATCGGTTTCCACCGATGTTCTTTGCATAGTTGGGAAAATGAAGGCCAGCTGAGATTCAGTAATGGGCATATCATGTATTTGTGTCAATGTGTCAGTGTGGGCATTCTAGGATCGCTCGGTGTGCCGGGCCAGGGCAAGACTGAGACAGCAATTGTTCAACGATGGATCCTGGTGGGGCAACGTGGTTAGGTCTTCTTGCTTGGCAGTCCATGCTCCACAGCAAGAACAGCATAGACCAGGAGAGGCCCACGCCACTCAAGCTTGCTGGAGCGGAGATGGACCCGGGCCCAGAGCCTTCACTCGCTCCTCGGATGCTTTGCTACGAGCCGCATGAAAGTTTATGGAGCGTGTGTTTTGTCGACTTCCAGGTCGTTGCCTGCCTGAAGTGGGGCAAGCGATGCTTGGCATTGACGAGCAAACAGTTGAGGGCCCCCAGATCCAATGTTTGGGGATCAAGCCGTGGCTGTGGCTGTATCGCAGGTTACTCCTCTGTCTATGTCAACCGACTTTGGGCGGCCTCGCGGCGACATCTACGAATGCCTTCGCGCTTTGTGTGCTTCACGGAGGACTTAACGCATATGACCGCATATGTGCATACACTGAGACCCCGAATTTCTTCAGACTGCAGCCACTGACAATCAGGAACCGTCATCCAATATGCTTTATAGGGAGCAGGCATGCCACACTTTACACGCAGCCAATGCAGGACCCAGCAGGGTTGGATGACAGCATTGAAGTGCGGCCCCTTCCTGCTAGCGGCTTGACATCAAGTTGCTAATGCTTTCTCCAGCCTATCTTTGTCTGCATGGGCTTAAATCTTCGATTACCTTGGCTCCCGTTTTGCACAGAGTTGTGTGATCACCAGGTTTGCCGCTGTGGTGGGGTAAGGCTTACCTCTTCAGTGAAGAAGCGGGACTCGATGGGAATCGCTCCTCGTCCAGCCAAGCAGATAAACAAAGTACCTCCGTGCACGCAAAGTATTCATGGTTTGGGCAGTGTTGCTGGCGAGGGCTGCACTGCCACCTAAGGAGTTCTATTCTTAGATCTTGACCAGGTCATTCTTGGAGCGAACCGGCTGCAATTTAGTCTTTGTCTTGCTTCGGAGGGTCTAGATTGGGCTCGATCCCTACCTAGCGGACCTAGCGCAACTGTCAAGGACCTGGATCCGCTCGCTGCCTACAGTGGGGCGTTTGCATTGCTTGGCACAGAGGACAGCCTGACAGGCCATGAGACCCAAGATGCGGATAGCACGCTGAAAGCTTCATGAATAATTCAACCTCAAGCATGAGAAAACGGGCTGTAGTGTGCTTCAGTGCCAGTGACGGCACGGCAACCTACTGCATCGACAAGATAGCTGCTCGCACATGACTGGGCACAGGACGTCGCGTGCGAGCTGGCCCTCGGAGGAGACCCGTGTTCTGGCTGTAAGAATCAGCTAGGACCAGCACATGATGCGTGTCGTTGTAGGTCAGTAGGGAGCAGCCGATGCACGGGCTAGCAGATGTTCACTGTTGAGCAATGGACTACTGCAGCAGGGCCAACATGACCATGTTGCGATTCCGAATGGAGCAGGATACAACTCGTCAGTGATTTGCTGGAGAGCTTCGCCTTTCTTCCGACAGCTCTACGACTGCCTGTCGCCATCCGTTCTCCGAGACCCAGATGCACGAACAGCTGTGCCACCGTCTAGCCTCAGTTCTTTCACATCCGAGGGTTCGTGCATCGCTTTGATCACTGGCTGGAGATGATGGTAGAAGACGCCGACCGATGGCAGAACCTCCTCCCGGGCAAGGCCAGCACCCCAAACCTTCCCGAATTAATCCACCGGTTCTTCTTGGCAGATCCTGGACTATACCACTGTCTTCCGAGATGGGGCACCTTAGCCAAATCCTTCAGCATGAGCTGACGTCCCGCCCGTGATAGCCTCGATCTAAGGTCTGTCTAGGATGCGAGACGGATGACAGCAGCTTTGTCTTTTGGCTGAGTCTGGACATGCGTGGTGAGCACATCATGGGAAGCCCACGGAACTACGATCACCTGCTCTCGCGTTTGAAGGCAGTCGGGAGCACATCAGAAGAGAAGGAGGCCGGCTGAGATCAACATAGCGGTCTGTATTTCTGAAACACTAGTAGTAGGCAGGTGCAGGGTCACTGGTATTAGATGCAACGAATACTTCGGAATCTTGCAGTCTTCTAGTTAGCACATACAGCAAGAAAGCAGACGAGGCGTGTTGGACCTTGATTGGACAGATTGGCGGCAGGTGCTCAACATGGACGATCCTCCGGCCGGATGCACCCTGTCAAAACCTACACACAAAGCAGGAACCGGAGAGACTTGCCAGTGTTTGCAACCACCAGGTGCACTGTGGTGCACAGTGTCATCGTGTTAAAGATGAAAAGTACGATGTAGAGCCAGACCGAGAACCAGTAAATCGAGTGGCACTGCTAGCGAAAATCGGGATGTGATTTAGTACTTATGGACTTATGGCGATGTCTCTTTCAGGGAACATGAAGCATGCCGGAAGGTTGCGATTGGACGTGTTTCGGGCCTGCTCATGCTTGATCTTCAGGGACCCGTAACTTATTTGCAACATCTGCAGGGGTGTTCGGTACTGGTACAGCGAAGACAGACTCTCAGCAGTCTGGCTGAAGGCCGAATAGGTGTACACACGGCGTTCGCTTTCGGGATTTCCGAATGGTCTGCTGCGCTTTTCATGCTTTGCTCACCCACTGAAGAAGCCAGAAATCGCTCCATGCTTGTCTTGCACATGCAAGGCGCGATTGTGACCTTTCCTAGAAGCCCAAAGCCGCACGACTCTGAGCAGCAAGATATGGAGTGGCCGGAGTGACATGCAACCCGATTCCTCCCACTAGCAGCTACTAGCAAGCTTAGGAAGTGGTGGAATTACATGACTGGGTTCGAAGGCATTGGGGGCCATCGCTGGATGCAGCCGAAGCATTTCCTCCGGGGTAGCCCGAAAGCGGATCTCGGCCCCTGCTCGCGAGCCCGGGAGAAGGACAACTACGTGCCAGGACGAGTAGCGCAGATGCCAGCCGGGGCGCGGCATGGCATGGCCAGGCAAGCACTGCAAGATCCGGATTTGCTAGCAAGTCGCATCCATGACTCACTTCGACCATGCACTTGGCCGCATGGATCTACATTGGTTTCTATGTCCCGAAGCACCCCAAGGCTGTGGAGCTGCCTGTGGCCATCAGTCCATAAGTCATAGCGGCTTGCTTCCAGGACTCTCCTTGCAGGTCCCGATGCTTGGTCCTGACCAAAAGCCTGCAGCGTGGAAAATGTCGAAACCACAGACGAATATCAGTGAGACCACCGAGATTCCATAAACACAAGCTGATGAGCTTCTGGATTTGGATTCCGCTTGCAGGTACGTAGGGTGCCTTGACGAGCCTCAGACAAGTGGCGACCTCAGGCAGCTGAGATTTTCTGTGACTGCTAGCTGCTAGGACTTCAGATACGCCTCAGCAGACAAAGGCAAATGCGGTCACGAAGAGCCCCAGCTTCGAGCCGCCGCAGAGAGGCAAGACCTTGCTGCACCTGAGATCACAGCAGAAGCTTGCAGTTGCTTGCAGTTGCCTGCTGGCAGAGACTGCAGAACGCAACCCGACGTTGAAGCTATTTCGGCTCTCGTAGCCCTTTGTTACTTCTCGGCCATGTCTCTACATCCCGGCGTCTTGGGCTTGGTCGACAGAGTCAGTCAAACCTCGTGGCAAGAGTTTCTGTCAGATCGTCGCGTATGCTGCGGGCTCCATCCTCTTCCTCTCGATCTTTGCCCCTCGGCAAAACATGCACAGACACGAACTTTGCCTCGGGCTCATGCAGTGTCGGAGTCTTGGGTGCATTCGTGGCACTTCCTCCAAGACCTTGGGATCTGGATACAACAAGTGCTGGCTGTGCCGGACACATACTTTGCACTGGCAATGCATGTGTAAAAACACCGGCAGGCTCTCAAGACGCTAAGACGTGACAACGCTGCATCCAGATGTATGACTTCACGATGGCCTTGAGCACTTATTTTGCGGCTAACGATGATGATCAGAAAAGTTATCTCTGGGCAGCTCTTATGCCACAACTCACAACCGTGAACAATGCGTGACATGGCAGCTTTGTTTCCATGGCCTTTGGATGTTTTCCTCTCCGACGAATGGTTTCTTTTAGTGCGGCAGCATGATAGAGCCCAGACTCCTGCTGATTCATGTTGCCGCTATTCACTCCCTTAGGGGAAGAATTTACAAAGGCGCACACGCACACAGACACACGCAAACACATGCGCACACAAGCTTGTATACAGATGCATACACATCACTTGTAGAGGGCAACAACACTCCACTGCAAAGTTGTATCCAACGGACTCAGGAGTGACACCAACAGTCTGACAATCCACATGGCACTGCATCAATTTGAGAAACCGCTCCGCGGTTGATGTCGAGAAACGATGCTGGTACATTAAAGTTTCTTGCTTACGCCTTCTGGAGTCACGGGGCTTGAGTTATGCTTCAAAGTCACTCTTAGCTTTATGGGGCTTTTGCTAAAGCCAAGTGAGAACAGCCTTCATATAGCTTGAACAGCTGAAACTAGACTTGTTTATCCGGTGTTGCTTGCACTCAGAGCGGAACGCCAGGTCCATCAACGGCCTAGTATATAATTGGAATCTTGCCCAGGCAGTTTGCACACACACACACACGCACACCAAAAACAAACTACCAGTGAGGCATATCATGTAGCATTGATTGTCTTGCAGCTGCTGCGCAGTGTTTTGCTTAGTCGAATGTGCCCATGGCTTTTTTTTCACAGGCTGTCGAGCCGCTGAATCCCCGAGTAAAGCGTCAGGAAGGATACAACCCAGTGCCTTGGCCTGCAGAATTAGATGCATGCCTGGATCAAGGAACGCGAAGTGGATCATTTTGCAAGGCTGTTCTAGGGTAAAGGCCCGGCAATCGCTTCTTCGAGTCGCCAAGTTGATCGGCCAAGTGATGTTTACGCGATCGCTCGCACAGTCCCCGTGTGACGAAGCAGGAGGGCACTGCCCTGGCATCACGAGTATGTTTCTTTGGTGTCTGGTGTCTTGTCAGGAACCCTATTTCTTCCAGTGGAAGGCTGGTGGGGGAATGGTGTTCCGCCTGTTTGGTTTTCTATGCGAGTCTCTACTGTAGCGGTCAGCTCGTGCTGTCACTGTCAGACTTGAGCCGCATTCAAGTTCTTCACTGCCTTGAAACAGGCTCGATTTGAAGAGAAGATGGGTTGGAAACCGTTGACGGAGCTTTGATTCTGCCTCGCTGCCGTTGGGCGAGAACGCACATTGGACGGCACTTGGTTTGGTGTCGATACTGGCGGGTTGAAGCATAACACAACAAGTAAATGGACCAAAGGAGGCGTGACAGGCGCTCACTGATAGATCATCCATGGACCCGTCTGAGGTCCAAGAATGACCGGGCTCACGTACAGAGGGAAGTGAGTCGGCGTGGTCTCACCCACCATGTGCAGAGGCACAAGGGGTTGTCGCATTACTGAAATTCACTGGATACCGACTTTCTAACGCAATGCTGGCAGATGTATTCCTTTGTTTCAATGACCCCTTGCGAGCCTTGTGTTGCCCTGCGGGCTTTACAAGCCCATGCTCACGGACGAGCAGCTACTTGGCCCGCAGCAGCGTGCAAGTCCATCGTGCCAACGCGTGGCCCCATCGAAAAGAGCTCATTGAACTTAAACTCACAAGCAAGGCTGCTTTCCTTGGGTGAATCTAGCACTGAATGTGTGATTCTGAAAACAGAAAACCGTAAGCCTATTTGGCCTGACATCCTTTAGGTTTGTTGGTTTGGCATCTGGCACAGTACACATAACTGTAATTCATCTGCTTTACCCTGACTTTGACTTCGAAACTGTAGCACCCTCTTTCCGCGACAGTTTGCAATCTCGGATGCGTCAGATTGCAAGTTGACTGTCTCAGGCAAGTTGCATGAGAAGTCCATAGACTTTCAACACCACTGCAACCAGCCACAACATGCAACCAGGGATCCTGAGGACCCGCAAGGAGACCATAGGAAGCTTCCTGCACAAGAGGCTCTACTTCGACGCGTTTAAGGCATGTGGTGCAGCCGTGGCAGCCCGACCCCGAGACTTCGCTCGCTGACGGTTGATGCTGAAAAGTGCTTAGTGCAGAGACCGTGCTGGTGTAAAAAAGAGAGGAGAAAAGAGATCCACAACTCATGAGCAGACGAAGACTGGGGACTTGCAGCCAGAGTGGGATTAAGCAACTTTTCTTCGGGTGTTGCGTGGGCTTGTGTTCGTGCTGGGGGTGTTGTCTACAAGACGAGTGCCAAGCCCATGATGGTGCACAGTGCACCAAGCACCCTAAAACCCACGCTAGGTCGCTGTTGCCTGTCCCTAGCATTTTCCATGTTGTAGACTTTGCTGGGACAATGGGCTTTTCGGAGGTTTTGAGCCTTGAAGTAGAAGGAAGGACTGCCCTTCAAACTGCTTCAATTGAGTGCTTGGGATTCCTCCTTTGGTGCCAAGGCCAGTCCAGAGGTGCTGCCCCGCCCTCGGAGAGAGAGACCGTCAGGACCGTGCTGAAGCAGACCCTGGCTCCTTTATCACAGTACCGCTGTCCTAGATTCTGCTTGCATTGCTCCGATTCTAAAGGCGGGCCGACTGGCTGCATGCGTTCTGGGCACGCAACTACGATGTGGTGCCCTGAGTTCTGGAATGCTCCTCCATTTACGGAGTGTTTTCCCAGTTTGACTTGTCCAAGCACCCCACAACCCAGCCCTGCCCCTGCCGAGGCCCTGGTCATTGTGTCGGTCTTGCGGAATGTCCAACAGAACGTGGACGAGACCAGGACCGGTGCAAGGAAAAGCAGCCAACAGACGTGAACGGATAAGTGGGGGCTTGTGCACACAGCCACCAAGAACGGCCACACGGTCATCCGGAGTTAGCGAAGCACAAGGAAGGAAGGAGACGCAAAGGAGCAGCGACTTTCCGAACCCTCATTTCTTGCTCAGCTCCACGGCTCGGACTCTGACTAGGAAATGGCTGGATGCACAACTACGCCATGCATCGAAGACGGCAGACTGGGAAGGTGCTCTCAAGCTTGCGAAAACTGTGTCACATTGAAAAGTACCCATTGGGAGAGGCATTTCGGAGGCTTGTGATCGACTGCGGGGAGCTCAACCTACGTGGCAGCATGAAGCACCGATCTTGACAAATCTTCGTGGCAACATATGGCTACTGTCGGCTAAGGTGGGCCACCACTACCGCCAGCGAGGCGTGCTTGGTGGATTGCTTGATCGAGGTGCGTTGCTTTGTGGAGCTTGCATGTGTGCATGCGGCAAGGCCGCCAGGTTAGCGACCCGTGAAGCTGAGTCACTCCTCGGGCTTGAACTACGTAGTTTTCGAAAAGGCTGATTCGAAGATGTTGCCCCTTTGAGAAGCGTTGGAAGCCACCCAGGTACTGTTCTACGAGCCTTCAGCTCAGGCTTCATCAACGGTACCAATGAATCGATTATGTATGGTTGTGTTAGACGAGTTTCGCCTTGGGAACAGAGTCTTCACCGTGCTTCCGTGGTGGCACTTCAAGGCCGGCAGACCGCCAGAGGTATCGGGCCGACAGCAAGGAGCACGGCCAAACTTGACCGCAGTAGATGTTTTCCTGCATGTCTTGGACCTTTGACCGATTTTAGGTCTTGTAGCACTGATCATGGACGAGCCACCTGGACCCTTTGATTTCACGGTGGTCTCGGCAATGGGAGCCGACGCCTCGGTGGGATTGCCTTCTGTGACTGAAATTCTTAACAAACCGCCCAAAGCTGTCATGCTTCTTCGCAGCGCTGGTTGATGCACAGGGGTGTTCCAAGCCAGGCTGCAGGAGACTGAACGCTCATGCTACCGCAAGGCCCTAGAGTCAAGGGAAAAACGTGCAAGCCCGCACCGAGAGATAGCTGCCCATTTCATTTTCTTCGTCAACAAGCATCAATAAGCACATCCGTAGTTTCTTGGGGTGAGCCTCAGGTCATCACAGAGGGTGCCAAAGGCACAGAGATGGCCACGGCCTGGGCAACCGGGTAGAAGCTGCGATGGGGTCAATACGACATGTATCATGCGCAGGTCTCGAGTGCAGGATTTGACAATCACAGAGAGCGACGAAGGTTTTTGTGACAGCGCGAGTTCTTGAGCTGGAGACGTCGTGACTGAGGCGGCCACATACACGCGCTTGAAGCAGACGCGAGGAGTGGAGGCAAAATGGTTTTTTCGGGCAGATGTTAGCGTACATTTGCGACGATCAAGTGAGCTGTGCAAGGTTATTCGTGCAGATACCGCCACCTTGCAGTCCGTGGACTACAATGCTTGCGCCGTAATTGACAGCGAACGGTCAACAACACTTGTCTTGAATGTTATTCATCATGTGGACTTTCTGGGACCATGTAAAGCTCCTCCCACTCCGTCGTGGTTGACCTTGCCCTGAGGCCGCATGTGTGGAGCGCGCAGTGCGTGAAAATGCGGGGAGCTTGGCACAAACAGCACGGTGCCATCGGATCGATAGGTGCTTGTTGCTACCGCAAAGTTGGGTTTTGCAAGCCAGCGCCAGCAATTGTTTTGCTTCATCTTCTTGCCACTAGTACGAGCTGTAGGCTTGCATCAGATATTGTAGTCTTTACTGTACACGGCCAAAGACGTTTGTGCCGTGTTGTCTTGCCTTTGGGTGTGATAGGTGTGTACCTGGACATCTGACGGTTGATTGGAACTGTCGATAATCGGTCAGGTTCGGACACCGTGGGGCTGGGTCGGCTACAGCGGCGACCCTGATCCGACTGCGCTGTCCCGTGTTTTGTACCCGCCTGCATGTCGCGATGTCTCTGCCGCGGAAGTCAGGCTAGCCAGTATGATTGAGAGCTTCATAAGAGGCTTCCTAAACTTCTTGTGGCTCAGGTCAAGGGTGTGCGAATGCCTTCCGTGCGGAGGTTCGGGAGAGAAAAGACTTGCGTATGTGCGGGTCGAGGGGTTCAGACAAGTCAAAGCAATAAGCCCTCATTGGCTTCCAGGCGATGATGCTCCAGGGAACTCCAGAGCAGCAACGCTTGCGGCTCGACCGGCAGACCTAAGAGCGCTTCTTTCTTTCGCCTCATCTCCTCTAGCCAGCCGAAACCAAATGCATTGGCGACAAGCACGGATGCAACTGCGGCCACCATGAATGCACGACCGATCCGCAACCTGCACGCGCGACGACAGCTCGGGAGCCCTGCCTTCAGCGTGACAGGATGGGCAACTTCCGATGTCGACAACTTCTTTACTCTGCCGCTAACGGCTCTGCCTGCCCCTTAGGACTGTTGCAAGCGGTGGGTAGAGCCGTACAAGTTTGTATGCATGAGTGTGCAAGCAAGAAAAGTCTTAGATTCCGGACATAGCCTTGTGATCATGTTTACCGGCATGCTCCAGTGGAAGCAGTCACGCTCCGAAGATCATGCTCCGTGTAATACTGAATGAAGTTCGAGCTTGCCAGGCGCATGCCACATGCGGGGACTGGAAGCTACTGCGAGCGCTCGTAGACGGCGAACGTTTCCTCAAGCGGTTCCAGGCCTGCATGGCTTGAAAGCTGAGACCATGGAGCCGGGCCGCACTTCAAACATGAATAGCTGTCCTACCGACTCAGTGCTTGGAAATATTTTCAAAAGGAGGCAGACAGGCAGGTAAGCTTCGAAGTCAATGTGCGATTCTGTCACACACTCATACGGATTCTACGCCAAGCCAGCAGCTAGCAAAGTTCAGGAATGCTCGTGCGTGAAGGGCCTGAATTAGGTTTCTGCTGGCTGCATGGATTGCATGTTCGGACTTCAGGCGGGTCGGCGTGGTCCATGCGTAGCACCTGTTCCAAAACACCTCAAAAAAGCCCTGCGGCATCACGACCTGACAACCTGAATTTTAATTCACCCTGAGCTATACTTCCTCCTGCTTGAAGATGTGATGCCTAAAGCATGTCCAGGCGAGCATGTCCGCTGCCACGCAGAACTTGGCCTTGGACTGGGCCACGAGAGAAGTAGGAAGCTGCCAAGCTTGTTTCTCGAACGAGTGGAACAGGCTCATTTTAAGTCACACGCGGGAGGGAGAGGTCAGTGTTAGTGTTTTCACCGAGATTGCGGAGCTGCACACAGGACCTGTTGCAGAATGCCATGTCCTCTCGACTCGCGTATGCGGTTCTTGGCAGTGTCCAGTCGGGCACTGAGGAACAGACCGCAAGCACGAGAGAAACCTGTTCTCTTGAATAAAGCGCGCAAAGCCAAAATCTAGGCTTGGCACACCTAGATTTGCTTTTCCCAGGTCACTGACACATCAAGGAGCACGAACGATGTGGCGTTCTCCCGACATGCTTGTGCGGTCCTGTTTGTCGTGCAAATAACTGCAGACCAGACAGCAGCGCAAGACTTGCAAACTTCAGTGCGTAATGCAAGTAGCCATCGGGTCAGTTTGGGCCCGTGTGATTTTCACAGTGCTTTGCTCCCTCGTCATGAAAGCAGTTTCGAATACTCTCGGCAATTCCGGCTGGACCACCATGACTGTTAAGTTCTAGAGTGGCACTGAGGCGACATGTTCTGCCGTCGAAAAGATGTTTTAGCATAGCATACCCAGGTGATGGGCAGCACTGCCCACACGCCCCATCCACCAGCATTCGTGGAGTCGTGGAAGAGCACACAATCCCGGACTGCTGGGGAAATGCGCTGTTTGTAGATATGTTTATGCATTTGCACCCGAAGTGTCCTCCTGCCCTCGCACGCAGCAAGATGCTTCGCCCTCCAATCGCTGCAGCAGTCTGCACGGTTTTACTTGCCATCCTCCGTTTGCTGCCTTGCAGCATGTGGCTCTCAGCTGCAGAATGTTGGTCCATTGAGACACAACGGCTTGCACCGGCCATGGAGTCTTGGGCTCAGCGAAGTCTTTAGCTATACAAGCTGTGACGGAAGAATGCGGACGTTGTGCCGAATCTGGGTCAAGGGGCTAAGCGGTAGGCGCTCGAACATTCCAGCTACCTTAGTGACTTGATTTCCCGACCTTGCTGCGAACATCACATGCGGCATGCTGATACGATCATGATGGAGTCGCGGTTCGCAGATCACGCGACAGACATCTACAACCGATAGGGGAGCATGTTGGCCAGTCTTGTGCACAATCCAGTTGCCGACTTGCTGACTGTAGTCTTGCTCGGGATTTTGCAGAGTTGGCTTTCGAGCCTCTCATGCCGGAGCGAAAAAGCAAGAAGCTCAGCCCCGGATCAACTCACACATGTGTCGTGTGTGCATAACCAATCGCATCGCATGCTTCACTGCTTCGCAAGCGCTAGCAGTGCACGATCACGGGGTGGATATTACTTGCCGTTGCTGGAAGGCAAAGCGATGCCGAACAGCCGCCGCCAGCGAAGGTGGTAGAGAAGAAGACTCCAGCCTGCAATATTGCTATCAGGCCGACTGTGCTGTTATGTTTTGCTCCATCTACTGACTGCGCTCGCAGCTTATGAGAGCTGTGAGAGGAACTTAGCAAGATTGATTCCTCATAGACTCATACTGGTATATACACGCTTGCTTGTTGCGTGTGTTCGGAATTCCGACCCACCTGCTTTGCAGCATGCTGTCGTGCAGTAACATGAACTGCAGCTGCTAGCTTTGGGTGGCCGGTATCGCTTAACATGTACACCAGTGGGACGAGTTCTGCTTCGATTCTTGCAGCGGTCACCTCACTCCGAGCTCGAAGGAAGCGCTTTCACGAGTTCGATTGGTTTCGAGCCATCATGGTGCCTTGGTAGCCGGCTGACGGCTTTGAGATTGGAGTTGACTGTGTGCATTCGGTTCTTCTCTGAACCAACACAAGAGAGCCTATTGATTCGGCTTTGAAAGTTCAGTGACACTGGTTACTGATTGTTGTTTCCGGCTGCTGCAATGGCTTCAGGGCTGCAGGCTTGAGGCGTGCAACTCGACTCGTTCGATCAGCTGTCTATTCAATGCTTTCAGCTGAGGTGATTCTTGTGGTCTACGCCCACATATCACGTAGTGGAGTGCCGGGAGGTGTCCAAGCAAATATCTCACCGGACAACAGGATTTACACCGACGAGACACTTGCCCAGCTCAAACCAGCACACAGCCCTTTTTGTAGCTTCTGGCCGGCTTGAGTTCAACGGTTGTAGACGGAAGATGACGGAAGCTCTGACATACACCTAAAGCCTTGCGGCACCGGGCCCAGCATGAGGAATCCATCCCCATTTGCCGTCCGATGGATTTCTGAAGTGAGACTCTGAGCCGCAGAAAAGAACTACAGCTAGGGCCTGGCCTGGGTCCTTTTCAGTCGCATGAGCACCCGAGATTAGCCGGGCACAAAAAGGTGGCCTTACACCTAAGGCCACATTGAGGCAAGGAGTGTTTTCTCAAGTTTGCCTTAGTCAAGTCCGAAAGGACTCCAAAGCACATGTTCCGATCTGACAGGATGCCCGCCAGACATCAGCAATTGTCCATACTGCAGCACTGAAAGAACCTGAACATGCGATCCCCGAAAAGCTTGGCCGGCATGCCAAGACTTTTGTAGCAAGTGGTAGAAGACAGCATGTGTCTGTAGCTTTGTCCTACATCCAGATTCCTGTTTAGCACCCTCCCATTTGCTGCTAGAGACTGAGTTCCTGTATGCAAAGCCGAGAAAGACCGACTAGCGAAAGAAGCTCCGCACAGCTTGAGGACAGTACTGCCTGCCTTTGCTCTTCTACGTCTCGGGGGCAGCTTCTGCCTGCTCCTTCAAGCAGGCCATCCGCAGGATTAGGGCCTGGGCGAGCAGTGTCTGACGGATCGAATGCCCAGCAAGTGCGTCCAGGGTAAGCTGTAACATTTTATCAGGGTTGTTGCGAATGTCGACAGCCCACTGTCGTTCTCTCATGCTGCGATACATTGGTGCCTGCTGGAACATTTAGTTAGGCTAAAGTCGAACGTGTGTCATGCAGTGCCGGACAGTGTTCTTCAAAGGCCCATGGCCTGTCAAGCTTCGACTCTGCATCAGCCCCCGCCAGCCTCGGCCCCCACAGCCCTTTTTTCGTAGATTGCACTTGGGGCCTGATCTGACCTCGAAATTCGAGACGAGTGGATTCTCCAAAACGGCTGGAGCACGTTGTCGGAAAATTGGGCCAAGCTTTTTGCACACTGGTTGTTGAAGCAGGCGCCGAGCGGCTTTGGCAAGATTGCGGTCTACACATTTTTAGGACTGCCCACCAGCCTGGATGGAAAGGGCATTGATTCCCATACAGTAGTTTTATCTGCAGCTCAACACGCAGGCCTATTTCAGAGCGAAGCCACCAAAAATACTGCCTGGCCACCAGGTTCGAGTGACTGTTGCTCCGGTTGCCACACTTCAACTTGACTTGGCTTCCCGTTGTCCCTGCAGAGCGTCTGCTGTCGTAGGTCATTTGCGGCAGGGATTGTTCAGCCGAGCTTGCCCTGATTGTTGAAAACTGTTTTTAGGAGTCGCGCTCAACGGAGTCTTGTGGGTCATGGGCCCGCAGAATCCAGAATGTGACCCGGGAAGCGGCCCCTCGCGTCCAGAATGTTTCTCGGCCGGAACAGTTAGATGGGTCCCTCTAGTTTGCGGAAATATGTTCACCTGCGTTCTCAATCCCTTCTGGGCGGCTCCATCTTCAGCAGGCACACGTCAGGATTTGGTATTGTATATAGTTGGATGGCAGCTGCAGTTGTCCAACGGATAGTATGCTTGCAGGTGTCCTCCCCGTCCGAAACTCCCCGAAGATGATCTAGCACCTTGAGATTCCAGCCCCAACCCTGCACAAATCTGTGAAGGCAAGGGGGCAGTCTTCGACTTTACGGTCAGTCCATGGTCCGGGAAGCTATTCCCGATTCTGTTCCAAATGTGGTATTGTGTTATGCTGATTGCCCTGATGCTGATCAACTGGCCCTTGTTTGCCTACCTTCACCAGAAACGCTGCCACGTTGCCATTCTGGGCGTGCAGCTCGTGGCTACGACCGGGCTAATCACTGCTTTTGTGCTCCTCGCCGGCGACGAAATGGAGCAACCATTCATGGTTGCGTCTTTGAAGGTGGTGAGTGAAGCACTTTTTCTGGCGGCTGCTGTTTTGACACGGCCCGAGTATCGGCCAACATGGCTTCCTCTGCGCTTGATTCACTATGTGCTGGGATTCATTATGTTCCTGGCCTTCGGCTGTGCGCCCATCGCACCACGCATCGAGCGTATTTCAGCTGCCCTATAGCCCGCATTGGAAGTTATGAAGAGATGGGCAGAGTAGGGTTTTTTCGAAGAAAATACTGCTTCCTGCCGCCTTCCCGTCGGAATTTCCTGCTCTTGCTCAGGGCTTCATCCTGTACATTTTCACAGGCTTTAACAAGTCCTTCCAGCTCGGATTCCTGGGCTGGTTCAGACATAGCAGATGCAAGCAGATGCAAAGTTCACTCAGCATGTTTACTCCCGGACCGATGCATTCCGAACCTAATGCATCACTTATCCAGCTGATAAGCAAGCATCACAGAATTTGCCACTGACGGCTGAGGATTCATCATCACATTGTCACGCCTACCAGGGCGCGAGGAAGCCTTGCCAATTGCTGCTCGGAGTGCACTTGTGGAGAGTCTTAGCCACCGGTGAGAGGTCAAGGCAAATCATTGAGCAAGGTTCAGTGTCTTTGGCGCTTGTGAGTGAGGGAGGGCGTGCGTAAGAGAGAACACAGGTATGTTGTGTCAGTGTAGTGGCTGGAGTGAGTGAGACTGTCGGTGGATTGATTGAGTAGGATGAGATAAGTGAGTGAGTAAGTGGATCCGCGAGAGGGTGAATGAGGGGATAGTCGGCACGTCGGTGGGTGGGTGAGCTGGTGAGAGCGCGAGGGACTGAGTGAGTGAGGGGGCACAGTTAGGCCGCAGTGTGAGTAGAACCGTGTGTTGCAGTTCATCTGCCTGCAGGTTAGCACCTACTGGCCCTTGCTGGTGCTTCTTCGACACGCTGCAGCAGCAAGAGCAAGACTCGACTAGTTCATGACGCCACGAGTGCACTGTCACACGGCACAGATGCAGAAGTATCGTGTGGGCATGGCCGAGTGGTCGCAGAGCGCTTCGATTGCCGGAAGCTAAATTCCTCAGGCCCTCAGGTATTTTTTCACCAAACACCGTCCCCCACACCCTTGCTTCGATCGAACGAGAGCGACCAACTTTAATAATGCCCGCTGACAGAGCCTGCACGCCAGCCTTCCTTGAGCAGAGAAAGCCGCTCCTGGAGCACCCCTCCGCGCAAGAAGGAACTTTAACAGCTCCTTCGACCAGCTGGTTTGCCGGAGGCGTGGTGATTAGCAATTGGCAGTGAGTGGTTTGGATAGTCTTCGGAGATATTTTGAAGGGAAATCACTGCTAAGCTCGGTCTTTCATTTGCAGGTGGTTCCCGAGCACGTCTCACATAGTTTGCTGCGATGCGCCGATCGACCACCTGTTGTCCAAGGATTGTGTTTCCATCAACCCTCTCCTTTGCTTCTTCTGTACTTTTTCTGGAATCAGACCTTAACATGGCTGCTCGAAAGCCGTGTCATCCTCTCACAGCCAAGCAGAAGCATGCAGAAGGAATTCATAGCGAAGTCCACCATGACTCCTTGCGAGAGTGCCTGCTGGTAGAGTTGCTAGCCCCTAGATTACAGAATCACAATGGGAAACTGATCAGCGCAAATCACACATCAACATTCTAAGTTGATCGAAGAGGCACGTGAAATGAGTCGTTCGAAAGCTGCCGTCTCAAGGCAGGTAAGCATGGAAAGGCCATCGGTTGTACAATACTTGAACGAGGGTAGAAATGACACTGTCTGAAGCTGGCAGGCAGCAGGCAACGCATTTATTAAACTGAGAAAACAGGACCAGCAGGACATGTTGAAATGCTTACAGGTCTTCCAAGCGCTGTAAGAAAATGGCAGTGCTTGCAGCCCATCGTGCCGTCATTCCGATGAGAATCCGATGACCGCGAAAAGGCGGCACACGTAACAGAGTTCTCAAATCTGCAAATGCTGAATTGTCTGGCTCGTTAAGTGCCTGGCTCGTCCACTGCCGCAAACCTCATTTTGCTGTTTGATTGGCTGAGTTCAGCTTTTGGTTACCTCCGTTTCGTTTGTCCCTGAATGTTGCAACTCCAAGGCAGTTTGCTTGCTGGGTTTCGCAGCTGAAGCAACACGAAACCGTGAAGAGAGCCGACCCATGGAGGCAATTTGACGTACCCTTACTATCCACGCTTGGTGGACCGCGGACTCTATGTACCTTGGGTTTGCAGTGAAGAGCGGTCGCCATTTCATGCGAACACCAAAACCTGTCTTGTGAGGCTGGTGGTGCCGTTGTCGTTATGCTCCTTGGGTGCAGATGGTTGGTTGCTTGCAGTTGTTCTGCCGATGCTGCAAGAGCATGTCGTTACCATGCATTATGATAGTTTTAGAGGCAGTGCAATTCCTGGGTTGTGCCTGGTATTCAAGACTCAAGAGGTCAGCAGCTCATGTGCTGGTGTTGCATTGGCATTATGGCATTGCTATTTTCAAGCGAAGCGGTCTCGCAAACATCTACGCCATGCGCAACTTCCAACGCACATGTCAGGAACTTTGTGCTCAGTCTGGGCTGAAGCTTCCCAAAAGCAGTTCAAAAGCCCACTTTGCACATGGATGGTCGTGATTCAGAATAGTAGGTACTGCCGCGTTACTCATGTAAACGCACTTCGAAGGGCGGAAGACATCTCGGCACGTTTTGTTTGCGTCTCACATCTTTGCTTCTAGCTAACAAACACCTGCTTGTCGAGTGAACTGTGCCCTTACGACCAGGCTTGTTGTCGACAGGGTTGGTCGCCACATTGATTGCAAAGCACTTCCTGCATCCATGGCGAACATGGCGCTGTTGTTCCTCGGGCTCTTATGCAAGACTTGATTGCTTCGAGCCTTGATAGCCTTCTTCCCCTTGGTGAATTGTGTTGCTACCGTCCCCGAGGTCTCACACAGCCGGCAACATGTTGCAGTTGCACCGGCCTGCAGCCGAATGCATTGAACACACGAGCTGAGGCTTTACTTGCTTCATCCATGGATAATGGCGGTTCTGATCGTTGCAACTCGAGCCTGGTTTGCACATTGAGGGGGGAGATCTCTCGTGCCGCCAGTGTTCACGTGCTCACCCAAGCTGCACTGTAGTGCTCTTCAATTACACCGATCATGACGGTTCCTCATTCAGATCCAAGGCGGCACTTCCATGGAAGATGCTGGCTCTTTGTGGCTTCTGTCGCTGGTGGTCGGCTCCGTGCTGGGGCTTTGCAGCACGATTCAGCCAAGGCGGCAGTCTTTGCAAACCAAGAACTAAGCCCGAGCAACTAGCAGTCATCGCGGTAAATGCTGATAAGGCCAGTCCTGAGCATCGATGTTGTCAGGCAAAACTTCCAATAGATTGCCAGTTCTGACAAGTTCATGCAGTTCCGAAGCTGCTACAGGAGAGTCTGCAAGAAGGACCGAGACGAGAAGTCTTTGGCCACCTGCAACGGCGACTCCGAAAGCAGCGGCAGCAGCCAGGCCAGGTGTCGGCATGACGGAAGCCGGCATGAGTCAGCATTGCACACGGTGGGCAGGGAATCGGAAAGTTAGATCTGGTGATCTCGTGGTACAATCGTGCTATGACTTGTCGCCATGCAGGAGGATGCCATCTAATCTCGCAAGATGCGGAGACCTGAAGAACGGGCAGCTGCCTGAGCATGTCCTGCACAGATGTGGAGCAGCGTTGTGCATGACATTCTGCTATCTCGCCTGGGAAGGTCCATGCAAATGCAGCGAGCCGTCAGACAAACAGCTGGCCAACTTTTCCTGGTAGATGCAAGTGGTTGCAGATCACTGGCAGTCAGCTCGACGGTTGGTTCTGCAACAAAACGTTGCAGGCTAATGATACTTTTGCCGCACAGAATCTGACTGGCTCTCAAGTGGGGCAGAGATGTGATCTTCAGGTTTAGCGATGAAAAAACTAAAACGTGCTTGAAAATTCTGCCTCGCCGTTTGTTGAGCAGCTTGTGGTCTCCTTTAAAGCACAGGCATAGCTCGGATGATTGCGACGGAAGTTCCTTCCGCATGTTTTCGGCCCACTGCTTCGAGCCAGCAACCGCAGGCAATCATGCATCCACACTGGACACGGGCGTTCATAGTTCGTAAGCTTATGTGGATGGATGAAAAGGATGTGTATGCAGTCGCATTTACACCTTGTTTGTGTGTGTGCGCGTGTGTGTGTGTGTGTGTGTGTGTGCGGGTGTGTGTGTGTGTGTGTGTTTTTGTTTGTTTGTGTGTTTGTTTGTTTGTTTGTTTGTTTGTTTGTTTCTTTCTTTCTTTCTTTCTTTCTTTCTTTCTTTGTTTCTTTGTTTCTTTATTTGTGTGTTTGTGTGCTTGTGTGTTTGTTTGTTTATTTGTTTGTTGCTTTGTTGGTGTGTTTGCTTGTTTGTTTGTGTGTGCGTATGTAAATAATATACATAGGAAGAGAGGGATTTATGTGTCTTTTTTGTTTAATTATGTTTTCTATGTCGACAGATATGCATAAATGTGCGTATAGGCAGTATAGGTGCGTATGTATATTATATGAACTGTATATTATTGCATATATAGATACATATACCTATACATCTATACACAAGTTGATGCGATACAGGCATACACAGTAGTCCCCCAGTAATTATTTGCAACGTACTTCCCATCCGTTTGTCCGAGTAACCTGCCGGTACCACTACACTGCTGAACTGCAGACGTCGGGTCGAGGTAACACCTCAGAAGGCTGGCCTGTCCTTGTTGAGTTTTGCGTGCAGGAATGTTTGATGATGTTGTCGAATGCATGGAGCCCAGTCCTTCGAAACACACATGGGTGGAGTGGCCAAGCCTGCCACGTGCCAGCCACCTGAATTTGCCTCAGGTCATCTTGCAGCAGATGGATTACAGCCAGCGTCAGGACACGCAGGTAGCTGTGGAAGAGGTGCCTTCGATGGAAATCGTGGGTCGAATTGTACGCCCACCTTGGAGATTGATTGCCCAAACAGACGAGTGCTCCACTTGCAAAAAACTGAACTTCGGCTGCAACTGTTCGGCTGCATGATTTGCTCTTGCAGGCCGTTGCCCACCCTACCAGTATACGCAACGCTTCCGCCTCAGCTTGATGGATTTGGCATGCATTTGATTGGGAGGCGTTTCCATTACAACCTTTGGCGGCGTCCCTGCACTGCAAGGGCATTTCAGCAGCCCACAAGCCAAAACACATCGGAATCACTCCGTAGCGATATCGAGGCCAATGCTGACCTCCTCAGGCCGGAAGCTGTTCGTGCACATGCATGATTCCCTCATGGGAAACGGAGCCGCGTGCGATTGCATGACTCTGCTGCGAAGGTAAGACGTGGTTGCGAGCAACCCATGAGTAGATCAGTCCCCGTTGCAATCACCTGTGACCCATTTGGTTTACGCTTTGGTTTGCTTTCGACTACACTGTTGGTGTCGGGGCAGCAGGCTTGCTTCACAAGTGCTTAATAAGCATTCCTGCCTCCGTGTCGTAGCAGGCCATCCTGTTAAGCACTTCATGCTGAAGTGACACTCTGGGCAGTGCAGGCAAGTGGACATCCGCAGTGCCATCCAACGCACTCATCACTGGTCACCACTGAGGGAAGAGGCTCGACCCGCAACTTCCGACCTTCCAACAAGAAGCATCGCTGATTCTGAAAACAGATTAACAAGACAGTAGCTTCCTGCCGTCTGCTTCTCTGGCATCGACTCGTGTGCCTTGTAGTTCCGAGTCTATCTGCTCATGAGCTGGATCGCACTATTCTCATGAGCGGCGCTTGAAGCTGCAGCCCGCGATCTCGGAGGTTCTCTTCCTTATGACTGCCAAAGATGACCCATTGGGCATGTTCGACGCACCAAAGGCACGACCGTGTGACATGCTGGACTTAGACGGCTGCAGAAGTTCGGTCTGAGTGCTCAATAGTTCGCCTTTGCCAGGATCGTCACGTCGGCAACCAAGCGGCAAAGCATTGAAATCTCTTCTGCCTTTAGAGCAAGAACTCTCGACTCCCGGGGCTGGGCACGTTTGTGCAATGGGGCGAGGCAGGTGGGACTCGCTTAAAACCTGGGAGCACAGCGAATGGGACTGCAAGGTCTTCCCTTGGCTGGAGGTGAATGCACGCTTCGGTGCAGCAGGCCCAGGCAATACATCACTATGTTGCAGGCAGGCGTATTTGGCACAACCGTAACTGCACTTTGCGCTTCAGTAGCCCATCCAGCATGTTTGACGTTGTTACCTTCGTGCAAAATGCGCAACGATGCCTTCTGCTTGCGTCAAGCTTGTCCAAAGGTCATTGAGAGATGTCAGCCGAAGCAAAGTGGCGCTGCCAAGGTCGAGTCGGTTTGAAGGGGAACTCGCCTTCGCGACACTGTCTTCCAATGTTCATGCTTTAAATCTTGGGAGTCGTGAAAATGTCTCAGGGCCTTGCTGCACTTCGAATCTTTTGCCATTGCCTGCAGGAGAGCCTGTTTGGCATCGGCGGTTAGAGGGAAAAAGTGGGAAAGTCAGCAACTTTCTTCGACGATCCTCACGCAAGTCTCATGGTACAAGTATGTGGAAGCATGTGCCTGCCGCAAGTGGACTTCCAAAACTCTTTGACACGTGTAGCAAGATTGTGGATCAATCGTGCACCTTCTCAATATATGGTCGCGATACAGTGGCATTGTAGAAACAATGCTGCCACGTTTGACTATTGGAGCGTCATCATGATGTTTGTTGTATTCTATTTCTTTCACATCTCTCTGGGCATTGAAAGAAACTGGTAAATCGTATGTACGTAGTAGTTAGGATGACGATTTTCAGATCAGCGGAGGCCCTAACACACGCGATGAAACCGACTTGAATAATATACATATATATATAGATAGTATTCATATATACTAGTTAGGATGATTATATACAGATAAATTGAGGCCTCAAAAAATTTGATGAAATTGAATGATTTCACTGAATCGATGATTTCAAAAATGAAACGAAAAAATATTTCGGATATCTACAGTAGAGATGAATTTGCTAAAAAAATTTAGAATTTTGATTATAAATTTCATGATTTGATTGTATTTTCTTTTATTCAATTGAATATTGGGCTTTAAATGAGAATTTGCGAAAACTAGGGTTCTTTGTTTTGGGAGCCTTCTTAAAAAAGATCTTATTATTTAAATTAATATATAATGTCATATTTTCGGAAGCCCGAGATATATTTATATATATATATATCTCGGTCTTATCTGTTTTATTCGATATTAAATGGTAAAGAATGATATGGTTGTATGGAATTAGATAAAGAGGTGAATTGATTTTAATTGATTTAATATAAAATGGGATTCTCTCAAGAAGATATTCTAGGAAATGAAAATTATTAAAGAATTGATCGTTCTATATATTAATTTTTTCATAGAAAAATTGAATGAATATATTTGAAGAAAAAATCTTTATAGATATTTACGTATATAGGCGGGGCATATAATTTATAATTTTAAGATTAAAAGTTTTTTTTTCGATAATGGCTATTTGGATTGGTTCTATTACATGGGATCGAATTTCTTGAGCACATTTGAAAGAGAGAGAGAGAGAAAGAGAGAGAGAGAGAGAGAGAGATTTATGAAGAGATATGATGAAGGTATCGAATATTTTTTTCTAGAAGTTTGTTTGTTTTTCTAGGCGCGTTGATTTTCGAGATTTTAGAGAAATATATGGGGGTTTCCGAAAATAGGGGACCCTAATATAGTACCCCAAATAGTAGGATCCTTATTATAAGGACCCTAAGATAAGGTACCCTAATTTTCGGAAATAGCTTTCCGAGAGAAAATATATTATTAAGGCGTTCTTAGAAATTTATAGAATTTTAATTTCGAGAGCATATTTTTTTCTTATATTTAAGAGAGAAGGATATAGGCTTGGAGGGATATATGATTTGGAGGAATAAGATATGAATAATATTTCGGATATCTATAGTAGAAATAAATTTGTTAATTTTTTTTGGAATTTTGATTATAAATTTTATGATTTGATAATACTTTTATTTTTTATTTAATTGAATATTGGGCTTTAAATGAGATTTTGCGAAAATTGAGATTCTGTATTTTGGGAGCCTTCTTAAAAAAAAGATCTTATTATTTAAATTAATATATAATATTGTCTTATTTTCAGAAGTCCGAAATATTTATATATATATATCTCGGTCTTATTTGTTTTATTCGATATTAAATGGTAAAGAATGATATGGTTGTATAGAATTAGATAAAGAGGTGAATTGATTTTAATTGATTTAATATAAAAAAGAGATTCTCTTAAGAAGATATTCTAGGAAATGAAAAATTATTAAAGAATTTGATCGTTCTATATATTGATTTTTTTCATATATTAATTGCATGAATATATTTGAAGAGAAATCTTTATAGATATTCTCGTATATAGGTGGGGCATATAATTTATAATTTAAGATTTGTAAAAAGATTTTTTCGATAATGGCTATCTGGATTGGTTCTATTACGTATGATCGAATTTCTTGAGCACGCGTGAAAGATAGAGGGAGATATTTATGAAGAGGTATGATAGAAGCATCGACTATATTTTTCTAGAAGCTTCGTTATTTTTCTAGGTACGTTGATTCTCGAGATTATGGAGA